GTCTTTTTGCGAAATAATTTCTACATAGAAAAAGCAAAAAGTGATAACTGTGTATGTGAGTGGATAAGAAGGAAATTGATCAAATAATTTGAAAAATGATTAAAGAACTAAGTTTATTTTTCAGCTATGAAATGCTGTTGGACTGATGAAACGCTATTCAAAACTTTATGATAATCATACTTTGCATAGTTATTAAAATGTACTTATATACTACAAGTATTTTTTGTCACAAGTTTGTAATATCTTATTCAAATTATTTATTAGTCATATCGAACAAACATTTTACATGTCGAAAATTCAATCGATTACTTTTAGTAATAAAAATGTACACATAAAGTATGTTAACGGTTTTGATGATTAGATAGACTATGTGCATCCAATGTCGGATCAAGAATAAGCTCTATGTATTTATTCGTTTTTTTCCGTGTTATATATTTGGACGGTAACATGAATATCTTATCAGCATCTGACTCAGTGATAGTACTTTCAAGTACATTGGAAAAAATTATTATTTTGGTTATTTTGATTTATTTTCGTTATCATCAAAATCGTGTAAAGGTACGCAAAGTACTGGTATTTACTTACTATTGACTTCATATATATGTATTAATTTAGAGATTTAATTTTCATAACACAATGTACATTTGTCGGAATTGAAATCAAAAGCAAAAGTTTCTGACTACGACCATAAGTTCGTTGAGAAATCATGAGAAATCATTTTTACTATTGTTTCCTCTGTTAAATGTTATCTTATATATACGGTCAGATGCAGAAAATTGATTGCTTTTTACAATTGATCTTTATCTATTGTTGCAATTCAATCGAAACTTTTCAGAGTATTATTTTCTTTCTATGTCTCATTAAGTTCCGTTTACTTGCTGTTCATCATTATTAGAGGTATGGTCCTATTTTTATTAATACATACAAATACTTTTTGTTTAAAACTCGAAAAAGAACTTAAAAATACTTATGGCGAGCAGCATTTGAAAAAGTGTACAAAACAGCATCACAATATATTAAGATGGAGATTCAAAATGGCATCTTCTGTTATAGTACATTACGCGACAAGCTGTGGGAAGTTCTGCGAAAAAAAAGTTTACAATAGTAATTTATTGTCTACTTAACGATAATATGCATTAATTTTGTAAAGAAAATCAATGATACATAACTATAGTTGAACTTTAGTATTTTTTCCAATATTTAGCTCTACGGTTTAAAAAATAATAATTTTAACAAAAAAGATATAGATAAAAGTTATTGCTTAATAAATTAATTAATTCCTTAATAAAAAATCAGTAAAGACACCATTCTAAAACCATTATATTAATTATAAATCAAATAAAAAATGATATGATTTTGAAGATTTCTTGCTTTTTCAATATTTACTAGTAAACTAATGTACTTAAAGTGAAAAGCAACTTTTATTTGAAACTTTTTCAGCTAAAGATATTGTTTTTTAAATCACAGAACTAAATACGGGAAAAAGTGCCTGAAAAGTTACGCATCAACCTTTTTTCCGGAAGCGAGTAATCTTCACGCCTGTGGGCATCGTCCATTTCGTTGAGGTATTCCGAGCTTATTGATGGACACGTAGTCACAGTGAAACGGCAGGTAGTTGCCAACATTTACCAAAGCGAAATGCGTGTGCCTTTCCTACCTGTTTACTTTATTGCACTAGTTCTCTTCGGATTTTAAATATGTCATCGACAGATAGATACAAATGCTTATTGGACGAAATGCTGGCGATTACCTGCAGTCTCACTCTAACGACGTCTATTTTGTAATTGAAATAATTTACTATTTTAGCATTACAGAGTTATCGTAATCTCAGATCAAACCCTTGTGAAAGTAGAAATATTATACAAAAATGATATATACCGAATCGATTCCAAATTTGTATATGAAATTCTCAATAAAATGCTTTCTTTTGGAATAACAGCTAATTATCTTATGACATTTTAATGTCACAAAAATTGAAACGGTTTGATAAACAAATCGCGTTCAACTCAGAAGTTGAGCCCGCTTTGTTTATACACAAGTAATGTTCCTAAAAAGTTTCAACTAAATTAACTCATTTACTTGAGAGGAAAACTTTGAATTATAGTACATTAGCTAACTAGTCCGGGAATAGTACATTACGATACAAGTGCAAGAAAGCAGATTCTTGTCTCGTGTGGTGTTGACGCTCGAGCGACACGAGGAACATTCCCGAGCATGTGTCGTCTCGTATTTTTCGAAACGACACGTGGAAAGTGCGATTTTCAACGCATGTTTTTCGTCAAACATGCGGGAAAGACGTACTTTGCGCACGGGGTGTCGAAAAATAATTGATAATGATTCTACACTATCCGGGGTAACGAAAGAAACAAATATTATTGTCAGTATAACGATCGTAAAAACAGCATCCTTTAGATTCATTTTATCTGCTAGCGTTTTAGTATTTTATGTAAACTTTTTTATATATAAATGACTCCTATTCCATGCGCTTTGAACAAGCTTTTAATAAAATATTGGATAATGTTGCAGCAAAATATGATAAAATTTTTAATTCCAAATCTACGCTATCTTGTTTTTGGCTTTACCTTAATCAGTAACATGTTTCGAATTTATGCCTCTGCTATGACTGGTGGTGATATACACTGCCGGATTCGCGACCCGCTAACTTAAAATTTCAAAACCATATCGATAATTGAGTATATCGATGACACCAAACGAGGTTAGGCTCTAGCCTTACTTTGGTTGTTAAGTTGTGCCCCCGTAACTTGCCGCACGAAGCCCATTTGATGTCAATAGATGCTCAGTTATCGAACATAATTCGAATTTTAAACTTCTTCATTTGCGAATTAATTATCTAGACAGTGTGCAACCAACTTTTATTAAATTTTCTTCATAACATTTAAAAACTAATATTATTTGTAAGCTAACAGTAACCGTATTACTGATTACTTAATATATAACAAAATGAATGGTATATGCTACGAAACGGAATAATCAAATTATTGACATTGAAAAAATTATTTCTATAAGATTATACCAAGATTATTTGTCATGGATAATATTGTAATTATACGAAATACACATTGCAAAATTAACACGTCTAGGGTCGAAATTTTAAACAGGAAATAAAGCAAAATAAGCTCTCGGACATACTTTAAAGCGTCAAATTTAAACTTAATATTAACATTATCATTTTTATTTTATATATTCATTTTAAAAAAACTATAAAAAACATATTTTTGTTTATATCAATATCAGCCCCTACTGATATCAACACTACTATTAGGGCGTGACATCAAGACTTCTGCGACCTCTCGTGACGCGACATAGAAATAAGCAAGAACGTACTTTAACACGGACAGCTTACGAGAAGTAAGGCGTTTATATAATATATTAATAACAATCAAAGAAATTTGCAAATGATTAGGTACGAATTCAAACCACAGAAAATTTATTGAAAATAAGTTGAAAAAAGCACTTAATTATATCACCTGGTATTAAGTTTGACACATGTCCATTTACACATTGCATCCATTACTATTACATTAGATAAAAAGAGCGCTCTGCCCTATACTACCTATGTTAAAGGGCTTGCTGGTTTATTTTTCTTTTGCGCCAGGAGAGCTTACAACAGTCTACATGTTAGATCTCGATGGACGTGAAATAGACATCTCTCGTACCTCCCTTCAATATTTTTATTAATTAAAAAGGTGTTAAAAGTATGCGTGTTGATTGGTATAATTATTTGGTGGACTACGCTTTATAGAACGATAAAATAAAAACGTTAAAAGCGCGTAGCATATTCATTAGATGAAAACGCTATGGTACCAAATTTAAAACAAATTTTATACGGCATCTCTCTTTTTTTATATTAAATTTTTAAAAACATAAGTATATGCAATAAAATCGTACAAAGAAAATATTGATATATAACGTAAAAAACAAAAGTAATCTTTATTCAAAATAGTCATAACTTACCGAATATTCAATTTAATATCGACATAGTTAACTCACAAGTATTACCACAATAAGTGAATACAAAGTAGTCACATTCTCAAATTTAATACAATATATACTTATGTACTTATTTTTTCGATTTTCTGGGGAGTAAACGTTCGGGGCAATGATCATTCGAATTACTGGATGTTTGGGGGAATGGAAGGGAATGAATAAATTATATTAAAAATACGCCTAAACGTTCATCCAAGTTATTTTAAGGAATTGAACGCCTATGAAAAAATCACAGCTAAACTTGTTCATAATAGTTGATCCGGATACAAATCGATAATAGTCTAAATTTTCAATTCTATTCTTTCAGAACTAATATGTTTATACATATGCAAGTATTGCCTAACCAAAAAAACGACTAACTTTTTTTATGTAATTTATGTTTAAGTATATTTTGGATATTAATTTGAAAAGGGGCTTTACTGTAAAACGATTTTACTGATATTTAGTTTGCATAGTACTAAGCACACACCTGTTTTTACATTATCAATTTTATATTCCTCGTATATATACTTTTTTCAAGAAATTTTACAAAAATAAGAATATTCATTTTTGGATACATATCAAAATAGAAACTTACCTTTTCACTTATCTTAAGTTATCTTTTTGAATTAAATGCTTGTTGATAATAATCAATTCGGATTTGGTCGATGAACTTGTAATATCCGTTTTATTGATGAATATAGATTATGCTTATTTTTAATAATATTAACATCCTTTTTTGTTTTTCTTGTATCAGCTTACTGCTTAAAGCATTATTTAAACGTAATCACTTCCGATCTTTCATAAGTTTTATAAAACTTTTCTAACAGTTAACCATTTTGTAACTTAATACAAATGTTAAAAAATCAGCTAGGTTAATACGTTAAACTAAACTAGATATTCTTTCTTATTTTGAAAACGGTTCATTGTTCATTGTGACAAATTGTGACTATATTCAGACTGTACAGAAAAGAATTGGTTTACGCATGACCGCAAAAGCGCGGGAAGTGGGAAGTCTTGCCATATTTCTTCTTCCCGCCTGAAGTTTATTTTTGTTGACTGCCATTATTGACGCCGATTCGCATACTGTTATTTTGTTATATAAAGTTATAGTCTTGACACGATTGAGTATAACTTAAATTTTATTTACTACTTATTACGTTAATCATTATGGAGAACGAAAATATTACAATGCAATCTGATGAGCTCCGAAAAGATGAGACTGAATACATGGAAATTGTAAGTTGCTAAAGTACAAAGATTAACCTAACAGAAATAAATTTGTCGTGACATACGATCCCTCCATTCCATTTATATATACTTGTATTTGATTATTACAAAAATAGTCATTTTAAGTATAATTTCCTTTTTTAGCTTGATATTCAATGTACAAATAAAACGTATAAATTCTGTATATATTTGGTTTTAAATTCGATGTATTTTTAGTCTTAGTCTTATAAAATAGTTATTGTTGTAAATTATATTTTTCCTATCTAATATTTTTATTATTTTACTCTAAAGCATGAAGAGAAAGCATTTATGCAAGAGACTCAAACAATCCCAAAAGAAATTTCTATTTCTCAAAGTATCAGCATTAATAAATCTATGACATTCGATGATATTTTACAAAGCTGCGAATGGGAGGTCGATGATTTAGCCTGGGCTCGCATGAGCATTTACCCTTTTTGGCCTTGCATTGTCACGTATGATCCTAGTTCATTGATGACTTACAAAAAAGTTCAATGTAAGAATTTTACAACATAATATGTTTCCTTATGACTTACTCATTTCTTATAAATAATGTTATCTTTTGATTCACAGCTATTCGAAATTCTAAAACACTCATGATTCATGTTCACTTTTTCAATGATAGCGGTAGACACTGTTGGGTACCTGCGCATCACATGATCCCTTTTGTAGGTATTGAAGATTTTCGAAAAAGAGCTAATATGGTGACTGATATGATACGCAAAAAAGAACCCAAATTTGCTGCAGCATTAACAATCAAACCTAGTACTTTTTTAACTTGGCAAAAAGCAGTGGCAGAAGCTATGGATGTACTTTATGATCTTGATCATTCATCTTTAGAAAATTTTAAGATAAATGCTAAGGATATAGTCAAAGTTAATCCCACTAAAAGTACTATTGCTAGTCGGAAGAGAAAACGAAAATATGATAAAAACACTGCAAAGGTAAGAAATCTGAGTGAAAGTACGTACTTTCAATAACTGATTTAAAAAAACGCTTTTCTAAGGTGACCAAAACCACTGTACAAAGTAATGGATCAAACATAGATTCAGAGATAGATGATCCACAATTAGAAAATTTGAACTTAGAAACTCCTCCAGTTTCACCAGCAAACGAAGAAGATTTACGAGTAGCAGTTTATCAAAAACAAAAAAGAATTTCCAAAATGATTAATAAATTACAGCCACCTGATTTCGAAGTATATTTTGAACGAAATCTGTACACTATCAAAGAACGACATCCTGAATCAAACGAAGATGAGATTCGTGAGTACTTGCAAGATATTTGGAATCAGATGTCAGTAGAAGATAAACAAAAATATCGATCCACTTATAAGATTGAGGCTGATAGTTAATTTATAATACGTTGTTTAATAAAAAGCATTTCCCCATTAAGTAATTTAGATAGGTCATGAAATACTTGAAATCAAAATAATTACTGGATGATATATTATTTTAGAATTATGTTTTGAATTATAAATATTCAATTTGAAGTAATCTTGAATTCACATGCAATTCATTATTTTGATTTCTCATGTCTCACTGATAAAATGTCAAGTAAAATGTAAAAGTTTAAAAGATATGAAACTTACTAGTCAAAACATTCAATTGACAGTTTCTAATAATTAATAATAAAAAATTAATAAATTGTGCCAATTTTAGTTTGAAACGTCAATTGAAAATGCACTATTGCATTAAGTTGAGCTTCAATACATGTTGCATGAAATTATAATTTAATTGAATTCCTGTCAAATTGTACATTTTATTTTATGAACTGATTATGCAAACATTAATGTACGCTAAACTTGTAATTTTCAAAATGTGAGCATTAAAAATTATTTCTAGTAAGTTGCATATCAGAAGTATTCATGATTTTTTCAATTGTTAAATAACTTAATTTTTTAATGAACTCATAAACTTTGTGTATTCCAATATGATTTTAAAAATGATTGATCAATGCACATTCAGATTTGATAATTAAAATATTTTTTTGTCCGCGCAAGACTGAAAGCAAGTGCCTTATGCTAATATTTTCAATCTAGATCAGCTGACTGTAAAGCACGAAAATTAATATTATAAGTAAATTTGTATATTGTGTTTTTTTTTGCTTTTTAAATATACATAACATTATTATTTATATGTTGCAAGGTCACGATGGACTAATTGAATAATTTCTATAACGAATGAATTTGATGTATAAATGAATAAAACGTTAAAGATGTTAGAACTTAGACATTCCATTTTGTGACGAATTAAGTTTTATTTTCAAAAGTTTCAAAAATCCCAAACAACCGGGCATAATGACTGCAATATACATTTACCATATTTTAGACTTAACGTAAATTTATATAGATATGTTTACAAATTGTTACATCTGCAATATGAGTGTAGCTATGAGACTGCAATCATCACAGAATAAAGTAATTTTAAAATAAATTGAAAGTTTTATTTTAAAAACCATAAGATAACCACTAGACCTTGAAAGTAATATGAAATAAACTCAGAAAGTTACCCAATCATGTTTTCAAGTATAATTTTATTCAAAGTAATAGAAGTACAATTTATGTACTAGTATATTAACTTTTGTCAATTATCATTATTAAGTACAGACTGCTCGAGCAAAACTCAGATGCATCAAATAAATATTACAAGTTTGGCAGTTAATCGTTCTTTATTTCGTCTTCAAATTTACTTGAAATCTTGTAAAATAAATAATTTTTATAGTCATAATCGGGCAAAACGGTTATATAAGGGGGAAGATCAAGAGAATACAATTTGCAAAGCAGTAAAATCAAATGAGAATTCGACGTTTACTACGCGTTTATTAATCGTTAATATTATATATTTATATATGTATATTTATATATACTTACAGTTAAACGTTTCGTATGTATACATGAATTATTCGAGCATTTTTCTGTTCTTTTCATTAATATAAGATACATACATGATTCCTCTATTTACAAGGTGCTATCGTCATCGCCCGATTGACACGCTGACGACAGAAAAACTGAAGGCGAGGCGACAGGTCAAGCACCGACAACACATCACAATTTCGGCGGTATCTCTTTACAAGCGCTTTATGTATGTTGCGCGTGTATTTAAGCCTAATTTTGTTTGAGCTTGGCGAAATCGATTTCCGCGTAGTTGAAGCCCTCTTGAACGGGTGTGGGCGAGACCGGCGGAGCACCGCTGACGTCGGGCAAATCGAGACTCGCGTAATGCAGAAGCGTCGCACCAGGCTGCAGTTTCTCGTAGCCCTCGCTGTCGAGTGGACTCGGCGTGGGCGTCGAAGTTGGCGTCGGGGTTGGAGTTGAACTGGGAGTGGGAGAACAGTCGTCGACGACTTTCGGTGAGGTGGGCTTCGGCAGCTGAACGGGCTTGAAGCCCGAAGGCGTGGGGCTAGTTGTCGGCGACGCGGTCACGAGGCGCGGCTTCGACACCGTCAGGTCCGACAGCTTTTTCGTTATCGGGCTCAGCGGATGCGCCTGCTCTTGGGCTATGGAATTCGATATGGCGCGCAGAGGCTCCTTTGTGGCGATCGTGCTGATGATCGAATTGACCGTGTTGCTGAGTTTGCTCGACGGCGTAACGTGCCTATCAACGTTAAAACAGTTGGATTAAAGCGTCAAAATGGCTATTCTTTCGCACCGCGTCAAGCTACCTTGTCGTGGGATTCGTGTGGCTGTCTGGGTTGTCGTGAGCTTTCTTCGACGAAGGACACCCGTCGACTCCAGGCAGAGGACTAGGCGCGGAAATCTTTCTGGTGATGGGCAGCGCGGCGTCGCTGTCGCTCTTAATGGAAGCATTATCGCCGAGCGAGGAAGGCGACTTTGCAGTCTGCTGCGACGAGGAAGAGGCTGTGAAGGAGGAGAACTGCTTGATGGGCGACTGAGGACTGTTCAAGGAGAACGGGAATATCGTGGCCGAGGATCCCGTGGGCGTGGCGCGCGGTGGCGAGGCTGGGGTACTGTCCAAACTCTCGGAAGTGGGGCTGCCGTTGAGCGGCAGGAAGTTCGGCGCTTTCGAGAACTTGCTACCAGCTTGGATGGCGATTGGCAGCGAGCTCTTTTTCTTGCGGTTGTTGTTGTGATGCTGCCTGCGATTGTTGCGATTCAGGCCCAAGCTCATGTTGATGTAGTCTTGCTCCAGGCTGGGCTTGGGCTTGAAGGACATCTCGACGTAGCCTTCCGGTGGTCGTCGCGGCTGCGGCAAGTCCATGGGCGCGGTTCGCGTGCCACCCGGCGGCCCATTCATTTGCATGTAGTCGTCTTGGCAGGGCGACGGTACCTGCTTCGGATTCAGTCTGGAATGCTGCCAGTCCTCTAAGCTCGGCGCCATCCTCATGTAAGACGATTCCGCCTCTTCGACGGGCTTCAGCGAGGGCGTCACCTGCGTGATAACTGGCTTGTGAGCGGACACCATGAGCAGCGAATGATTGTGGTTGTGGTTGGCAGTGGTGAAGTTGTTGTTGTTATTGTTGTTGTTATTGATGTTATTGTTGCTGCTACTGCTGCTGTTGTTGTTAATACGGTTATTCTGCGAGAGATAGAAAGAAAGCTCGTGAATGAGCGCACAGGCAGTTTCGTCAGAGGCTCGGCCAACGAAAGAATTCCAATCGATCAAAGACGCGCGCGTGCGAGAGAAAGAGAGAGAGAGAGAGAGCGCGCGAAATAGTACATCTCGATACTAGCGCGAGAAAGTGATTTGATCCTCTTGCGGACGTTTGTGAAGAGGCCACACGAAGCTGACATCGCTTTCTCGCACACGTGTCCAATTTTTTTTTTATACGATACGATTTTTCGATACGACGCGTGCGAGACGAGATTGGAAGCAGGCTTGCTTTCTCGAGTCTGCGCGAGTCGAGTGCTCGTGCACGGAGTGTCGAAAACAAATGAGTCATAGGTGCGCGGAGTAGCACGTATGCACGAGAGCGTCTGGCAGAGCTGCTCCGAAAACCCACCTTTGCTGGTCCGTTCATGTCGAGGTAAGGGGCAGTGCTTGAAATTGGCGGCTGTCCAGGAGACATATCGACGTAGGAACTGGTATCTGTGGCAGTCGAGTATGATTGCGATTGCGATTGCGAGTGCGAGTGCGAGTAGGAGGAAGGTGGCGAGGTGAGCGCCGCGACGGGCGCAGGCCTGGTGAAGTCGAGCTCCATCAGATCTTCCATCCGCTCAGAGGTGGTCGAGCAGACGGACGTGTGTCCCCAGGAGCTGGACAGCATCGGCGCCGAGTTGGACTTGTTAGAGTGCGAGCTCTCGATGCCAGGCACCAACGGGGCCGTTATCACGTGGGTGAGCCTGGCTATTTCGGGCCTCTTCGAGCGACTACCCACAGAGAAAGCTCGCACGCGATTCGACTCCTGCTGAGCAATGTCCAACCTGCGAACGGAGCGAAGCCCGAGCATTAGCTCGTTGATCGTGACGACCGACGGATCGATCGCTCGCGCATACCTATTTTTCCGATGCCTATTGATGGGCTCGGGCCTCGAGCCGACGGAGTAGGCCCTCGTAGGCCTCGTCTGAAAGTCCTCCCCGGGCGCAAGGAAGCTGGTCACCTTGTCGAGGTGATACTCGGAGAATCGCATGTCGGTGCTGGGGGTGCCGGAGGTAACGGAACAACTGCTCCCGCCATGCTGCGACATGTCGTCGGGGAAGTGGCCGTTGTGGTTGTTGACCGGGTCCATGTCGACATAGCCGTCATCGCCCAGCGGCGCCATCGGCACGTAGCCGTCGCCCAATAGCGAGGCCTCCTCGACGAGCGAGGAGCTGCGCGAGTGCGCGCCCTGCGCCGGGCTCATCGGCATGTACGCCCCGCGCCCCGGGCTCGAGCTGCACGGGCTGTACATCTCCACGTAGGAGCTCTGCTGCTCGTCCAACGAGAAAACAGACGCTTGATCGTCGAGACCAGGAGAGCCGGCGGCGGCGGCGCGCGCGGAGCGCAAGGGGACGAGCGCCGCGAATTACCTGCGAGGGCGAGCAGTGGTACTTGGGCTGGTGGTTGACCGAGTGCGACCAAGGCACGTAGTCGTCGGCGTTCTCCTCGAGAATGACCGGCTCGTCGGGCGTGAGCGAGTGGCCGAACTTGGCGAGCACGCCCTCGTCCATGTTCTCCGAGGCGTCGTCTATGGACAAGGACGAGCCGGCGGAATCCGTGGAGCAGGCGCCCGAGGCCGGGCTGATGGGCATGGAGCCGACCGGTGGCGAGTAGGACATCATCATGCCGGCCCTGGTGTGCACCGAGTGCGGCCTGATCATCAGGTGGCTGGCTCGACCGCCGGTGGCCGCCGCCGCCGCCGCCGACACTACGCAGCAACTTGGCTGACCTTCGCTGCTCGTGCGCGCCCTCGAGGGCAGACTGTCGCACCTGTCTCGCACCGCTGGCACGCCTGCAAGCATTGCGAACGGCAATGAGCGCGTCAGTCGTCACGAGCCATCGACTCTGCGATTTCTATGTAATAATATTGCCGATAGCCACCGTGCAGTAGAGCGGCGTGCACAAAAATCCATAATTCAAAAGCCAATACAACTTATATTATCGATCATTGTTAGTCCCACAGCGTTATCATTCAAATACCAAGGGAGTTAGTATTATTTATTATTTACAAACTGCATTTCCATACACTGTTGGCTTTGCGTTAGCACTGCAGTTTTTTAGGCATTTAGTATTAGCTACAGAGTATGAGAGAATATATGTATATATATATGTCAGTAGCTCATGAGCTAGCACGAGCCTCGATCAAGGCTCTCGTCGCACTCTCCTCCAATGTTGTTGTTAAGGTCAAAAAGTTTTAGAGATGAGGGAGAGATGCAGCGAATCATATATATATATATAATATATATATGCGTACACTGATACACATCGGCAGTGCTGTGTGCGGCTATGACAACAATTTTCTCGCTTCTGTTTTTCGTGGCCTATACGTTAACGACACACTAACAATTAAAAACGCGTGGCGTTTCGTTGCCTTGATCGAACACTCGCGGTATCAAAGTTACATTGACAAGTTAGAGAGCGTTTTCAGAGTGACAAGCGATACGCACATCGCCGGACTGAAAAAGAGACCATACTTTAGTAGGGTCGCGCGGCCATGTGGCTCTCAATATCATCTCGCGACATTAAGCTCACTCGAGCGCTCGCGTTATTAATACGGCGGCCAATTTACACTGATAGCATACGTTTGTTGTGCGCAAAAAGGCAAAATCGATGGCATTACATTGAAATTGTCGAACAGTGAATGAAATGAATAACAACGTAATGATACGCGTGTTCAAGTATAAACACGCGTGCGGAATGACGCGTACATAACTGCTCTTCTCTTCGCACGACAAAAAGAAAAAAGACAACAATGTATATGGCTATAATAAAAGAGGCGATCAATCGCACACGTGTACACGCACGCACAGCATATATGTGTATCTATATATATACGTATATATTGAGAGAGGTTAGGTCGAAGGCGAAATATGTGTTACAAAAAAGAGAGAGAGAGAGAGAGAGAGAGAGAGAGAGAGAGAGAGAGAGAGAGAGAGAGAGAGAGAGAGAGAGAGAGAGAGAGAGAGAGAGAGAGAGAGAGAGAGAGAGAGAGGAAGAGAGGAAGAGAGGAAGAGAGAAAAATGATCTATGAAAGAATGAAAAAATGGTAGAAAGCACGATGATGACGTGTGAGAGAGCGTTGCATGCGACAAGTATACAAGTTGGAATTTTCCTGTATGCAAAAGAATCTGATTACGTATTGAGAAGAGAGAGAGAAAACATACTGTAGCCTAGGATTGAGTATAATTACTAAGCATAATGGCGTAGAGAATCCACATTTGACATTTATCGAGTATAGAGAAATATAGAGAGAGAGAGAGAGAGAGAGAAAGTAGACGGATGTCGAAACCAAAAATCTGAAGGATGTCAGAAAAAAATCAAGCAAAAATACTCGTGTGTTTGAAAGAGACAGGCATAGAGAGCGACAGAGAGGTAGAGAAATACATACAGCGTAAGACAGATCTTTTGGATGATTGCGTTTGATTGATAGCATTGGCGGCAAGGGGCAGCGACAGGGTTCTCTGATGGAATATTGTCGCGGTAGTATTATTGGTAGTGCTTGTGGTAGTGGTGGTGGTGGTGGTAGTGGTGGTGGTGGTGGTGGTGGTGGTGGTGGTGGTGGCGGCGGCGGTGGTGGTGGTAGTGGTAGTGCTCGATGACGATGATGTTGTATTGGCATGAGTGGATTGGGATACATTGTCATTGGCGGAACAGGGGATTGGATGACTCGCTACCGAATGTCGACGTCTATTCGTAACGCCAGCAGCGTCGCTGCTTTTAGCGTAACCGAGCCGCATCCCCACGATCGTCCCGTTCTGCTGCTCGCAACTGCTACCGCAGACTGTCGCTGCAAAGTTTTGATCCACCGTGAGCCCAGCGCATCTTTGACAACGACAAACAGCAGCTAACTCTTTGAGCCGCATTTAGCAATTATGCGCCTGACTTCGTCAACGCTTCCATCATCAAACATTCCAACCATTTCAATCTTGAGTCGCACAACCACCGAGTGCTTACCATTCCGATCACGCTGCGCCCACTGCTTTTCTATCATGTTTCGCTGGTCGCTCGCTCCTTAACCCCACCCCCAAACTATTTACATTTTTCGATTAATTTCTACGTCGACGAGTAGATAGTTTCATAAAGCGTGTGGCGTGTGTTTGTGTCTGCGTAATTTACTGTTGTGTATAGCCAGCTTTTTGTCCTAAACCCAACCATTCTCTGGCAAAATAATCTCTATTGATTGGCATGTAAAGCAAATTAGATCTACTTATATATGTATGAGATCAGCAAATTCTAAAGAAATATAGAAAATAACTAAATAAAAAAAGAAGATTCGATATGAGCTAAAGCAACCAGTAGGTAACATTGCAAAACTTTTCTTTTCAAGGACCAAAGGTTATATAAGTATATGGCAAATAGCAAAAGCACCTCAAATATTTTCCACATCTAAATAGCTTGTAGCATTGGAGTGGATTTTTTCTGCCAAATGATGTTTAAGAAAATAGACATTGCTTAAAATTTTGAGCAATCCAATGCCGATGACTTTTAGCGATTCCACGCAGATGGAGAAAGCCATTGAAATGAAAAAAACACGAAAGAAAAGCCACAACGATTTCTCTCTGCGTGGAGATATTACATGTAGTTTCCAACATAATAATAACACTTAAATCTATCTCTCCTATATTGGAATCAATCAAGTTGCACGAGCACGAGAGAAAGATAATTGAATAAAAGAAGCGTACAACTACTGTGACAAAACAGACCCGTAAGTGTATTGGTAGTAGAAGTAGTCTGTGACTGACTACACTGTGAGGGGGCGGATGCAGTGACGTTCTGCTCCTGTAACGCTCCGACTTGCTCCTCGTGCAGCCTCTGTTCCTCTGTAAAGCCCGCAACCCACGTGCGTTACTCATTCAAGCTATTTTGACTATTTTTATCCACTTTCTTTTTTTCGCGTTGAACAATTATACACGTTCTTTTTTTATTTTCTTTTCGATGTCTTTTCACTTTTTTTCTTTACAGCTTGTGTGATTAATGAATTATGTGCTACTAATCTGCACCATACTATGTATCGTGATATTAATGATTAAAATAGATGTTATGACACTACAGACACGCAAAAGACACTGTACACAAAAAGAATAATTCAATTGTTTACAGCTCAATAATATAAAAATCTATATTATTTAATACAACGTTTTGATAATTTGTTTGCATATTATTTGTAATTATCATGAGTCAGCAATATTTAGCACAGTATGACAAACAGTTATTAAAACTTGCACAGCAAATACTGATGAGTCACTAAGCTGTGATACTATGTAGCAAAACAATTGCTGACAATGAGGTAATGATTTGAAAGTAGAGAAATGGTGTCGCATTTGTGGTAGAAAAAACCATACCTAAGGGTGAAAAACCATGCAGTTTTTGCGCAGTATGTCTTCTTTGAAGAACCGATATCGGTTTGCTGGCCTCATTTGCCGAGGAGCTGCGCATCCTCTGCCTGGGACCGTCATCTTTGACAGTGCTCGAATTAGTCATAGCATTGTTGATGGCGTGATGCATGTTCTGCGCAATGTTATTGTCCTCAACCTCCATCCATAGTTCACCACCGCCAGCAATGGCAGAACGCCCCACCTCCATGTAGAATATGCGGTCCATAGCGCCAGACCTCCTGATGCAGCTCAACTGAAAGCGAATAAAAGCACTGTTAGATAGCCGAATAAACGCTTTCGATAGCGCGATACTCACTGTGAACTCAATGGAGTCGGATTTGTCGTCCGATCCAAGTCTGACGAGACTGAGAACGCGATCGGTGAGGCATAACCTGTAGGGTCCCGTAATGTTTTTGCGCTCGCCCAGGCCCTTCTTCTGCATCTGGACTTGCCACACGTGCTCTGGAAACGGAAGACACATTGAGACCAGCCGACGCGAATGACCGCGAATGGCCGCGAACGATCGGGAACGATCGCTGATCAGCGAGCACGGGAGAACTCACCGAACGTAGGCCGTGGCTGCTCTCCGTCGGGTTGATCGCCGTTCTGAAGCAGCAGGAGTGCCTTGAGCCACTCGTCCAGATCGCGCTCGTTGTCGAGCATCAGGCAGAAGCAGTCGTCCTTGGTGTAGAGCGCAATGACGTGTTTGTGCTTGGTATCCCGGCGCTTGTTGATGTTGAAGCAGCTGCGCACGGAGATGCTGCGCTTGGGTGGATGCTTGGCGTCGTACTTCTTCTTGCTGTCGTAGTACTCGAGGCAAGCGGGATGCCCCGAGGCCTCGGCCCGCAGCACGAAGTACTTCTTCTTGAGGGTCTTGAGCTTCTTGAGGTGGGCCTGCAGGACGACGGCGCCCGGCGACTGGGAGGGGGGCGCGGGGGAGGACATGCTGCTGGCGTGGTCGGTGCCGCTGGCGTTAGCTCGCAGAACCGAGCGAAGCAGCTGCCTCGTGGAGGGGAGTGCGACAGCGGCCGTGTTCAGCTGGTGGTGGCCCAGGTGCGAGCTGTGGGCCTGGGCGGCATGGCAGGTGCGAGTAATGGTGGAGCTGCCTGCTACGTGTGAGCACGTGTCGCGGCCGTGGCGGCGGCGCTGGGGCTGCGCGCAATCTCCTTAGCGCCGCTCTCTCTCTCTCTCTCCCTCTGCTCTGCCCCTGTTATTGTTGTTATTATTATGGCGTTTGCGTCTGTCGCTCTCGCTCCTACGGGCTGTGCGGGCGCATAGGTGCGTCTCTGTTGCCGCGCCCTAGACAGCGCCCGTGCGCGTCGCGGCGCTCTACGCCGGCCAGCTTAGGGGAGCGACTGCTCGGGCCTCGTAAGCACCATGCCGTCCGCCCTGTTTCTTTTCGCTCGCGTGCTTTCGCGCCGTCGGCAGCCCGCCGCCGAAGACTGCTCTCTTTTCGCAATTGCGTCGAATCTTCGGTTCACCTGAATTGCCAAGGCCAGCGGTACTTGCGTGCGCAATAGGCGCCGAGTTGACGGGCCAAACAAGCACACGGCGGCTGCTCGCGATTATACTCCTTCGCGGCAGGCGCCAGCCACTGCGGACACGTTGTCTGTCTCGCTCCCTCTCCTTCCTTCTGCTGTTCGCACACCACGCACTCGCGCGCGCACTTTCCTCCGACTCACTCTCTCTCGCTTCCACGAATTGCTGGCTTGTTTTTCCGTGCCCGATGCGCACGTGAGCCGCGAGCCCGAGCACGACGCACTTGCAGCGAATTTTATCGCAGGTGAGCTTCCGAGAGAAGCTGCGACGTGCACACGAGGCCAGGTGTTGGCTGGCGGCTCTTTGCTCTCTCTGCTCTCTCGCTCTCTCTCCCCTTCGCTCTTGGCCGTATGTGCTAGTACCGGATGTCCGCGAGACTATGCACTACTCTCTCCCTCTCTCGAGCTCTGACTCTCGCCGTCCGCTGTCTCTGTCTCTCTCCAGCGATCTCCGGATACGCCAAGTCTCGTCGCACTATTTACGTCGTGGGATCCTCGTGGGCACAGATACGTATGCGAGCGTGCGACGACAACGAAGAGCGTGAGCAGGCAGCCAAAACAGACTGTCGTTTCTTCTTGCACTGCGATGTAAGCAACACTGCACACACGCGGCCTGATCGAATAGCTGGCGACAAATCGTCGATCGAAGGCACACTGCAGGCGACACTCGTTTGCGTAGCACTTGCGCGAAATACCGTCGGATTTAGACAGGCTGAGCGGTAACGCGAGGACGGGCACTCGTGTCCATCTTGGAAGTTGGAAAGGTCATGTGTGTATGGCAAGCTTCGCAGTTGTAAACAAGCTGTACGCAGGCGCTAACTACTCGAATGGCGGCGGCGGCGACTGCGCGCGTAAGCGCGAGCTTCCACTCTCGCACACTTGCGTGGCGGCACAAACTATATACGAACTAGACTATGTGTATACGTATATATATATATATATATATATATATATACATACATATGTATCTATCGGTGTGCGTCCGTGAGAAGAGAGCGCGCTACTTGATACTCTCTCGTACAGCCGCAACGCATGCACACACTACCACCATTACTAAGCTTGTTATTCAGCGGCGACGATGCAATTCCTCGTCAGCGCGTTAGCGTGTACGGGTGTGATGTGTACATGTGAGAGACGCGTGGTTGAGCCCTTTAATGAAACGATGCTCTCTGGCTGCGCCACGTAACGTAACTACATAGTACGCCATAGCTATGAAACAGAGAGAGAAAGAGAGAGAACTGCTCGTTTGCTGCCTGCCTGGCTTTCACCAACTTGTTTTTGTAGGGCTGCAGTCTGCTATGTTGCGCAGACTGCGGTTGCTCTGTGATACATGCTCACAATTTACACCTCTATCTCTCAATTGTGTGCATACGTGCTCTTGCAAAGAGTACAACACATATACGTGTACACAGAGAACGCGGCCTCCCCACGCCAACGAGGCAACTACGTCGTGGCCGCGATCCACACGTTGGTATACCTATGGAGTATGTTTGTTGAAACGCGCGACGCGCATATCTATATGCGTACGTGTGTATGTGTAGACATTAACTTTGCTTTGGGATGCTTTTGCTATATATGCGCGTTGTTATTGCTTAGCTGCCCCGCTCTCCGACTACCACGTGTTCCCCTACTATACCATCTCTCGATCATCATCTCTTGCTTATGCGCTCCAAGCTAACACTGTGCACTCTCTCTCTCTCACTCTCTCCTCTCTCTCTCTCTCTCTCTCTCTCTCTCTCTCTCTCTCTCTCTCTCTCTATCTCTTTCACGAGCAAGAGGCTCGCGTACATATTTTTGTTGATCTAACACACTTCACGCACGATTTGCTGATCATTTTAACTTTTCTTAGCAGCCACTATGCACCTTTTACTGAGCACTATCTCTCTCACTCTCTCTCTCTCTCTCTCTCTCTCTCTCTCTCTCTCTCTCCTCGAGCGACGGATATTCCATCGATTTGGCACTTTCATTTATTGCTAAACCGTCTTTCTCCTGTGTTACATATTTTTCTCTTCTTTTTTCCTTCAACTGCACGATCAATTATAGACATACGTAACAGGCTATTTTTGTTTAATTAAGTTTGTTTGTGCCATTCGATGGAAAAACACACGCTCGATAAACTGACGAAATCCAACTGAAATGATGACGTATTCTTTTATTTTATTGCACTCTCACGTTGGCAAACAAATTCATCTATAAAATTTATTGTTAAAGTTCGGAGATCATACACTTGTATGAATGTTTGTTAAAATGATAAGTAAAATATATTAAGCTAATTATATTCAATAGTGTAATTTATAGTTCACTGGTAAGCAGTAAACGTATAAACCATTAATGAAAAATAAATTAACCCAAGCCTGAATGAATTTTTCAATTTGATAATTGTCATTCAGCAATTATTACATACCTGAAATCATAGTTACAAAAAATTAAGTAAATACTTCACAATTCATTTTACTCAAGTAACTCAATAATAAATACGTTCGGCCAAGAAAAAGAAAACAAATAAATTTGTTGTACTTTGAAATAGTCAAGTATGAAATTGCAATTACTACAACAATCGAATCCAAAATTGTTAAAAAATTTAAATTCAAGTGGTTACATGAAGTATTATACGTCAGATGAATAATATATATCTTACATTGACACGTAACTCAATGCAGCGCGCTAAAAGAAATTAAATAAATACACTTTTTAAAAGTACTTATTAAAAATAAATGATTTTAGCAAACATATCAATTGTGAAAATTTCTAGGAATAGGTAAGTGAATTTATGTATCAGTAAAGGTACTATACAAGAGAAAGGGCTTGATCTATAAAACAGGTAACAAATTGCGCTAAAAGTACATGAGCGCGCCATCTGACGGTCAATTCAAAAGTGGTAATTTCTATTCGTAAATCTAATGCGAATATAATTGTAGATCACTGATTTACTCACATTTACGTTTTATTATTTACATGTCAAAATGATCATAAACGTATAGATTTTATTATAATTATAAAATATTACATGATATGTTACTTCAATCACTTGAGTTACTTCAATTATACAATTAAAAACATAGATAAAGGAATTTAAAATATTATTAGAGTAATAATTATGATATTGAAATAATAAATAATGAAATTGAAGTAATCCTTCATAATATTATTTCAAAATGCGTTTAATCTAAAAATATTTTATTGTTAGTAGAACATATCCGACTGAATCATCGTATTAATAATTAATTTATTTTCATTAAAAATCATTAAATTTTTTAATAGAGTAATTACTTCACGTTAGAATATGAAGGTGCATTGTGAATTAATTAAAATTAAATTTTTTTAGTTGTAACTGGAGCTTCTCAATTTCTAACTACAATCCATTCAGTGGTGACCCGGCAGTTTCTTTGGTACAGTCAATCAAAGTATGTAATGAAAACATACAATAAAACTCGGCTTAGCACTGATTAATAATAATATAATGATTGCTTGATGATTGCGTCCAAATAGACACATTTAGACGTTTACTTGATTTATTCGATTACGCCTAAAACCACTTTTAAGAAATATATCAATGGTTTAGATCATGATTTTATAGCTTCTATGTCTCTTACACTTTTGTTTGTTAAATATACAGTACTATTACAGCAATATTCACTTTATCATCAACGAATAAAGAATTTGAGTCGAGTTGATCGATTTCGCTTGGCAGGATTTTAACAAAAAAGGTCAAAGAAGAAAAGAGAGAAACGACAAGAAACTAATAAGCTAATCGCCGAGGATAATCCTTAAAACTCCTATTCCCTTTTTAAATAGGCGTGTGAGTAATACCGAGAAATTATTTAAGATTAGAACAAGTGTCACCGAAGCAATACTGAAAAATGAAGAAAAAAGTCCCGGTAGGTCTTTAGCATCACACGAGCCACTTGCCGGAGACTAGTATACGTCCATTTATTAAAAGAAAAATTAAAAAAAACAACAATTGAATTTTCACAAAATTTGGACTTATAGCAGTTTCCACCTAAATCAAATCAAACTAAATATCTTGGGAGAAAGAGAAACTAGCCGACACGCATCTATGAAACTGTTACAAAAAGGAACTTTGCCTTTCTGTAGTTCTGTCTCGAGTACATATATAATAGCCCGGGGAAAAGTATACGATTCATCAATTTCGTGTTGTACAATTGCAGCTCGTTCGATCAAACCGAAAATGTGTTCTTTAACACAGCATTACCTGTCATTTTAGCTAAACAATTGAAACTCTATGTTTATGACAAAATGTGACTTCATAAATTACTTTTAAATATTCGGCTTGATCAAACGAACTACAATTGAATAATACTACATTTTTGAATCGTGTTTTTTTTCTGCGTTATTACACGTACTCGAGGCGAAACTGGGAAGGAAAATTTTATATATACATGCGGAGGGACCTTAAATATTTTCATGTATTCTCTTTTTAGATATTGATAATAACTTTTTATATGAAATGCACAATCGCTTAAGGTCCAACAGATCTCCTATATTTCTTATTAATTTTACAGCTGCCTAAATATTTCTTTCAAGTCCCGGAGGCTACCAAATTTTACTTAAATTGTTAATCAGCAATTGTATAATTAAACGAAGATATGATTTATTATTGTCACATATTTTTAATAGCAAACGATCATGTAACTTAAAATTCTGGAGGCGGAAACGGAGATTAATTTTAAAAAATTTTAACAAAACTTTATGAAAATACATTTATTTTTAAGACAATGTAGTACAAAATTAATAAAACTAGCAACTTTACGAACATTAATGAGTATACAAATGCTCCATCAAAAAATAAATATAATAAAAAAATAATTTAAGTATCTACTAGATAGATCTAGCATATATAGTCACTCGAAGCATGTTTAGTTTAAGTAATTTACCAATTATGGCATGGTGAGGTAAATGGGGAATTATGAGAAAGGATTACTCACTTTATCTCACCTGAGCTTGTTTTTAGTTTATAAATTTTGTAACTCTTAACAATGGCACTTTTTACTCCTCAATAATATACGACAGCTACGAAAATCGAACTAGTTTCGTATGTTTAACTCAAAACAATTATAGAAGTTCGTATGACTAAGTAAAAAAGTAATCCTTTGGTTACAATCATATTTAATTATTCTTTTCTTTCAGTATTATTTGCACTAACTTAAAAAAATTGAACTTAAAAAACTATCTAGCGTGCAACCATTTCGAGGTAATATATTTTGATCATTTTCAAGTTTAAGAATGTTTAAAGCATTTAATAATGAATTAAAAGTTTTTAATCCAAAAATTCACTGCTTTAAGAGCAGTAAAATAATATTTAGAATATAAATAAAATATACTAAAGTTTCTAAATGTGGAATATACAAATGAGAAAAAACAACGATGAAAAGGTTTCTTAATGACACTTATAAATATCCGTCGAATGGTAAAATTTCAGTGTTCTGTAAATGAATTTCTTATGCAAAAATAAAAAAAATATAATTATTTACTGAAAAAAGAAACAATATTGAAAGTAAAATGATAAACTCAGAGTTCATTATTAAAGTTATACCCATTCAGAACTTATAAATGAAGGCGTAACTGCAGTGATCACCGGAAAAACTCGGTTGCTTACCACCAACAATCTACTTTCATCGTTACGAATCTCGGATATGTAATTATTAACTCGTTCTTGATCGATAATTTCAGTTAGTTTTTTTTTCAAGTCTTAGTACCACTGCCGCTACACAGAACACTTCGAAATTCATTAGGCCTAATGTTAATAACATTTATTGCTGGTAATTTTTTCGAGCATCTGTTATCTATTTAGGTAAATCATGTTTTCGGAAGGAAATTCAGAAATAATTATTTTAACATATTAAAGTAATTTTGCATAAATAACTTCAAGATTCTATCGTAGAAATAGGTGCTATACATAACATGCTCTATCCAGGTAATGAATAATTTGTAACAAGTAGCTTAAAAAATGGAAATGTCAAAATGAAAAAATGTAGCTCAGTCATGGGTTAAACTTGAAAATGCGTCAATACTTTTTTTGAACAGAACTCAACTCTAAGTCATTCACATTTGAAAATTAATATTGAGAAGAATCTTAAATAAAAATTACTGCTAATTATAAAAAAAAACTTACAATAACCAACTATTTAATCTTTGTTACGTTGATAATAAAATAAACTATTCGTCACTTACGTATTACTATATAATCAACGTGGTGAAAAACGAGTCATAATATCGAAGTATTTTGTTATACAAATGATAACAATTTCATTGCCTTACAAATAATATAATAAATTGTTAAGATGTTGGCTTGGTTCCGTCTTTAAGCTCTGACCAACTAGATATGCAAGCTTATGAGCATACTGACATGGAGCTGGAACTCTAATTGTACCTGGCCAATTATAGTACAAATGACATAACTTGTAAGTAAATCGTTGAATGTAGTCAGTCTTAGATCCAGATGAATCATAGAGTACAACGTAGTGAGTTGGAGTTACGGTACCCTGTTTAACTAACTGTGGAACAAGATAAAAATCATACAAATAACGGCGAGTAATGACACTATCTACAATCGTTCCTGGTGCAGGGTTACTTAATTGTTGCCCACGTGCCTAAAAAAAGATTTGAATTATGTATAGAACGAAAAAAATCTCACATGAACATTTTATGCTATTTATAAATTATTTATTATATTACGTACTATTTCGAATATACGTGTATTGACTCTCTTTTGTACAATTACCACAGTTAATTTTGGCTTGTAGTTTGGATCCAACATCGAGCAAGTTTCTAGAAATTGTTTAACTTCATAATTTTTTACAACATCTAATTCTCCATCGCCAACACCATCTCTATATATAAATATTCTATCAGGGTATTGATCGTTTTTCTGTAATAAATAGAAAAGAAATTGTTTATATAATTATTATTTTGGTAAGAACATTATAGACTTAAAACGTAAAAATGTTAATCTACCTCACGATATACTTTTAAAGCTGAAATTAAACATTGTTTCAATAGATCTATCAATTCCTGATGATGCTGCTGCATACATACTCGGCTGTGCCATGATGTAAGTAATGTATCCAAACTTGCAACAAAACCAGCGACACTTCCTCCTGACCTTTGGTCGGGTCCACCATGATAAACATCAATACCACATACCATGGAATTTTTCTGAAAATCGCGATTATATTATCAGAAATTTTCAGAATGACAATGTCAACAGAAAAAAATATGATGACTTACGAAAGGATTTTGAAGTGCCCATAAAGCTCCACCAAGTTTGCAATTGATTTGCAATGCAATTTTTTCCGTCACACTTTTTATCTTATCTGGTCTGGAAATCGTTTTCGAGATGATTACTTGGGAAGGAACAGGAAAATCAATGCAGCAAATCCTGTAAATGTTATGTAACATCTTGATTTCTTTCATTGTATAACACAGAGAAGAAAAATATGAATAGAGTTAAATTTAAAGGTTGAAGTAATAAAAAAAATGGCTTGATATTGTTTTAAAAATATTACAAGGATCAACTTATCAATTTATACATTGAAATTCATACGCAAACTTTCATATTTCATGCTTTAGAAAATAATCTCTGAACTTATAAATTTAACTATACTTTAAAATATGCTATTGTTATTGTTATTGTTATTATTATTATTATTATTATTATTATTATTATTATTATTATTGTTGTTACTTTTAGAACTACGTTCATGTGGAACGCTGCAGAGAAGTATGCTAGAATAATCTATTTTGAACAGCGAATAATGAAATCAGATTTTATATTCAACGTACTTTCTAAATTACTGAACAGTTTACAAGAATACTCCCAATATTTACAAAAAAAAGATTAACCTTCCGCATTTATACTTTGTACATTATCCCAAATCATTCCTCAATGAGTAATTTGTAATTATTACATATTTTGCTTTTGTTACATTTTAATTGATTAATTAGTATTACATTAATATATTTATACGTTGATTTATTAGCAATTTTTTAAAAGTATATTAGACGGTTGACAATTATTAATATTACATTTCAAAACGAATACTTCTTCAGTATAATAAAATAAACCCTTTCTCTAGAATTAAAAATAGTAAGATCAAATTTTAGGATGTACACAACAATATAAGTAAAATAAATAAATTAAATTTATGACTTACCTTTTCACTGCTGTATATTTGTCTTGTCTAAGTGATGGAAATATTATTACAACCATTTCCATGGTTCCAGAGCCATTGTTGTTCAAAAGTTTTTGCAACTCTTGCACGTAGGTATTACTGTTATCATCTCTCAAAAATATTATTACTGGATCTCCTATTCTAATTTTTACTCTTTCACATACTTTTTTGAATGTTTCTAAGAAATCTCTTGCATTTTTATCATTGCGACGTGGACATATTATTGACCAGTACTGCATATTAGGCTAAAAAGGAAATACATAATAACTTTGTAAAAATTACATTTTTAATGCAAGCAAAATATATAAAAAGAATTAAAGTCTCAGGAGTACTAACAGTTCTCAAAACTGCACTATTTGTTGCTGCTTTACCCCAATCAGCATTGGTTGACTTTATTTTATACTCATTACCAAATTTAAGCTCTTCAGGATCTAACAACCTTCCTTTCAGTTGTACTGTGTCATCTTCAAGCGTCAATCCCCAGTCAGAAAGAATCTTTCGAGTTACCTCATTTGAATTCACTTCTTTTATGAAATTCTTTATGACTTCTTTGCGCTGTTCTGGATTTACTTTGGTTACTGTAGCAAGATCTTTAGTGATTTTAAAATCTTTTCTAATGCTATCAGTAAGCCCTGCTAAATAGCATAGTTCAGGTACCAATAAAGACAACTTTTCAACAGTCTAAAATTATTTACAATCCAAAAACATTTTAAACAATTTTTAAACAATTTTGTTCTAAAATAAATTATTCATCGACATTGCAAAAAATATGTCAGTTGATACCTCGCCTGTAGATTTTTTTTCTTTAGATCTAGTTATTAATAAAGGCTGATCAAAGTCTTGTATTTTAATACCATGATGTTGTTTATAATAATCTACCAATGTAATTTCTACTCCTTTCCTCTCAAATGTAGTCATTGGACTTGCCTCCCAATCTATGTCATCAACTCTATATGTTCTGTTATTATAACGCGTCAAAACTGATGTTCCAATAACTTCCATTGAAATATTCCTTTTGAAATTTGCCCTATCTTTGCCGTACATATCAGTCCTACAAAATATAAAATCGATTTGCATTGACACTGTACTTATAAAATTATAAAACATTTATTACTTACATCAAATCCCTAACAGTGTCTAGTCGCATCACTCGATGAGCAGCGTCCAAATTCAACTTCAAACCACCTTCTAATTCATTTATAGCTGTTATGTAGCCAGGCCATACTTCAAGACGATGTTGATGAATCTTGTGGGCACATGATGGATTAAAGTCGTGTCTACCAATTCGAACTAAGCTCAAAGCTTTCAAAACTCTGTTCATCAAAGTATTAAAGAACGATATGTTTTCTTTCATAGCCATTTTTTTTTTGAATATAACTGTGAGAGTTACAGTAGATTGATCTGTTGGATGGATAGATTCAAAAACAGTTCTCTGAAAAGAAAAATTCATAAATTTAAAATTTTGAGAATTAAATGATAAAATTTGACAATGTAATTTTTACCTCTTCATCTAACTGCACAGGCAAGTATAAAAGAACTCCATCAAAAGTCTTAACATTACCTAATTCATTCAAATGTTGATTCAAAAGCCTTGATCTCAGCGAACGTGAATCAATATCTGGTGAAAATTTTACTTCGTATTGGTACATTCCTTTACTCTCATCAACTTTCAGAGTAACATAATTGGTTGTTAGAACAACTCTAAAAATCATGAAATATACTTTGTCATTATGGTGATTCAAGTTTTGAAAAACTATTTTTCTATTTACGGTTTTCCAGATACTCCTTGACGAGAAACAACTTCTGGTTCAGATGTGATGGAAGTTTTTGTTTCTTCAAGTGTTATAGATCCTAATCTTCCAGTAACACCTGATAGATCACCAGAACTTGAAGGTGCTTGAATTGTATCTACAACTGACCTATAGAACATACAAGTATTTTATGTCATTTACAAAAACTAATTCAAATTTTAATGGTCAAATTGTAGTTTTACTATTCGAAATAATTTTGATAGAAATGGGCTTATGACGAAATCTTAGAAAGCGTAACCTACATTTTTTTGAAAGCACTTAAAATATTCCCTCGACCTTGACCAGTTAAATTTGATGAAGATGATGCTGTAATTTGTGAAGCTTTCGTTGATGCTACTTGCGAAGTTTGTAAAGTTGTTGTAGATGCTAGGGGTGATGAATCTGAATAAGCTCCTGTTCTTTTTAATTTTTCTAGAAGATTCCCACGGCCTCTGCCACTAGAAACATTTGTTGTTTCTGTTTTCTTAGCTTCTATTTCCCGTTGTAGTTTTTCTAATTCCTGTCTTCTTTGTTCTTCTTCTCGTGCTTTGTGTTGTTCTTCATTCTTTTTCCTCATCATATCTAGCAGATTGCCACGACCTGATCCTCTGCCCGCCATCTTCAAAAATATTAGAGTTAATTATAGTAATTATAAATATAATATAATATATAATTACAATTATCAGCAATCATCTTTTATATAAATATCCTTTGTTTAGTTAGAAAAAAGAACTTATGAACTTATTATAAATTTATAAGTTTATTAGACTTTTACCAAAAAAGTTTATTTAGATGGAATCATTTAGTTAATAATGGAAATAAAATTTTTTGAATAACAATAATTTAATGTTAATTCAAATTATAAGAAAATTGATTTGATTTCATAAATTAGCATTTTGAACAAGAATAAAACATTTTTGATCTATCTGATGTAATTAAAATTTGATTTCTTTTGTATTTTTGCAGACGCATAAAAAGTTTTTATGGCCATGTTCTACAAAATGTGATATTTTTTAACATTATAATTTTGTAGAATATTCTTTCATCAATATAATTCAATATAATTTTCTCAAAAAAAAAATATGACACAACACAACTAAGTTTTGCTTATGTAATTATTATTAATTGTATTATAAGTTTAGAAATACAGTTTCCTGGTAGAATCATGTAAACAATTAACTATTTCACAGAATTTATCTAATAAAACAAATTATGAATAAGACAATTGAATTGTATGAAAACCTTTTTATCATTTCAAATAGCATTGTATTTATTAACTCATAATAAGAATAATTAAATAACTGTTCTTATGATTATAGTCATCCAGCTAACAATCAAATAAAATTAATTATAACAATCAAATTAGATTACAAAATTTGTTATACCATTACGTATTTATTTTTAGTTTTTATTTCTTTAATGAATAATTACATTTTAGCAACTAAACTATTTATTAAAACAATATAGCTCACAATTTTTATTTGTCATACGATTAAAAAAAATTTAGAATAAATTGATTTGAATAACTTTTATTGTAACTAATATTTTCAAGAATGTCAAAGATATTGTAACTTTAATAAAACTTTGTTCAATCTAGATTGCATTTCAATTTGAATCTGGAATCTGTACAAAATATGTGTACATACAAATACATGTACATATATACATATACAGATAAGTGGAAGATTTTATTTAAAAGAACGTTTATATTTATTCAAAGTATCTGAATAACTGAATATTGTTTATTAAACATATAATCAGACTTGCTATTTTAGTGCTTTTTAATGTTTTCAAACATTTATCTACAAAATCAAAGAAAATCTATAAAAAATTACAAAATATCATTATGAGTGTGATGACAAATTAGCTCAATATCAACAGGGGTGGTTTTAGATAATCATTGATTTCTCAAGTTATATTTACGCATTTAAAGATGACAATTTTGATTTTATATTTCATCAATTTTGTAGTAAATACAATTGATACTGTCTTATATAAAACATTTTCTGTTAACATTTCACAAAACACTTTTTTTACTGTTATCTCAGCAGTTCTTTTCAAATACGAGTGCTACCTGTGTATAATTTATAAAAAAACAAATGGAGTTGAATTAGTTGGTTAGATTGCTTGTTTTTCTTCTTATCTCTTATAAAGGAAATGAGTGCTATTTTTTTTATTTACATTATTTACATGATAGTATAATTTTAATTATGCTGTTAAATTGAAAAGATCAAATTTCAATGTTTTTCAATTTCCTTCAAGTTTGAATCATCAAATAGAATAATTTAGTTGTATATTTTCATTATATTTTTTAGTTTTATAGAAGCATTTTGGTTGAGTATTGTTAAAATTCAGCATTCAATAAGAAATTATGTTCTAAAAACAATGTTTATAGCTAAAATATGACATGTAATGCTTTTGCATAGTTCTCAACGAAGAATTGATTGAATATCGATAACTATGGTCAAAAACATTAAAAAATTTCATGAATATTAGTAATGATAACTTAAGAAGTAACACATTTTATATATCAACATAGGCTTTTCATATCTACAATATATTCATGTACAATATAAATATATGAAAGTATACAAATTATCTAATATAAACTTTTTTTAGTTCTTGTCTAAATTAAAAATGAAATCTCATGAAAAAGCTTGAAAAGTTTTAACTACGCATTACGTTCTGATCAAAAATTTCTTTCAATAAAACTTGTTTCGTCACGTGTTTTAAAAAAACAAATAATGGATGTCATAAACAACTATGTTCATTTTGCTTAGAGTAAAGAACTTTATTTTAAAAATGGGCGTTCTACGCCTCTACGCATTCTTGGCGAGACAAAGGATGTAAAAAATGTGAATACTCTAGCGTCCATTGATGGCTTGAGTGAGTGACACTATTATCAAACCGAAATTTACCGTGACTTTTGTTAAATTTCAATCCAAGACACATCCAAGAAAGCTCAGCAGCCCACAAATGTCTGCGTTTAGGATTTTCTGAGAAAATGAAATAAATGAAAAATTACAACCTCTCAAAGTCTCAACCAACACTTCAACACGATGACTAGTGGCTGACGACCGACCAGCGGCTGCCAACTGAAAAGACGAGTGACGAGTTTGCGAAACCTTTTCTACCGTAATTATGTATATGGGAAGCTGGGTCGACAGTGGCGCCATTTTTTCTCCCCCTCCACCCCAATTTTGGACTCTAGAGTGCTGATCACGGGCGGCAGGCGCAGCAAGCAGTACTTCAGTAATGTTGTAAATTCTGAACTGACAATGTATTTACATTTATCACGGTAAGCTCAAGAACGTTAAATATTCGTTAAAGATATTTGAGATTTTACATACGAGAAAGAAAGAAAATAGTACAGAGAGCAGGTCACGTGTAACTTTGCTAACTTCCTTTTCTAACAGCGAGTCTGGATAAGTATTTTTGATTAATAAATAATGAAAATTTATTATTAAATAGTAACAATTAAAACACTGTATTTATAAAATTACTAGTATAATCTCTGATTTCTAACTATAATCTCTCATGTTTTAGTATACAACATTAGTATAAATTGAAATATTCGTATATTTTTTTAGCGACTTCAAATAGAAAAGTTTTCAATGCGATCTGGATTCTTTTAAGTATGTCCACGCATATCTCTGAAACGGTTTAATCAATTTCAATAAAGTTGGGGTTATTTGAAAGCATGCGTTTTTGGAATCGAACAATTCCATTAACAATTTATTTAAAGCACATCTTAGCCAGTATGTGTAAACAATTTAGAAGATGGATTTTTTAAAATTATTTTTGTCTAAATCTATGTTTTTCCTGACCGTTAGATAAAGAAGCAGGGCGATTTGTTTAATTATTTGGTTTAAAATTTCTTTATCAAACGTTCTTAAATTAGATTCCAAAGAAAGTTCAACAATCATAAAATCCATTGGAATTTTTTCACTTTTACGTTTTGATTTAAAAAAGGCTTATTGTAGCACTTTTATCAATAATTGTTTTAACAATTCCGGTAGGTAATGACTTGATACGAAAAAGATGCGCAAATCAGCGAAGAACGCATTACGAAGCACAAAAGATTTTATTATCAAAATAAGGTACAATACCTAGCTAAAGTTTAGCGTACGGTGTCTCAACTTAAACAAGAGGTGAACGGATATTGTGCATACAGTGCCACTGTCAACTCAATTGAATCGAAGTCTTAAAGCCCCTCGTACGATTCCATAGCTAACTAAAATGTATATTAGTAAACGGAGAAATTTTGTCGCGTTTTTTCTCCATGATTTGCTTGAACGAAACATAGTTGGTACTTGAAAAAATTGAAATTCATAAATGTTATAGCCTAGATTACAGCTACAATCTATTTTGCAGCATTATATTGGTTTCCTCATAAACAAATAAAGAAATCAACAATGATTTTGGGCTGTCACTGGTGTTTATGTTTACGTCGCAAACAAAATATTAGCGCAAGTCTCAACTAAACAACTGTTACTACAACTTTACAACATTTGTTTATAAAGCTTTACCGATTAGTTATTTATTATAAATGAAGACTAAATAAAAAATCAATGGCTAATACAAGAAATGCGGTGGTTTATCTGAATATATGTAGATGATAGATGTCACGCACTTTTAAATAAGTTTTACGCGATGCATTATTCATTTGTAATACAATAACGTGTATCTCAATTACAAAATATAAAATAACCTTTTATAGACTACAGTCGGTTTATTATTTAACCTTCTTCTATGATAAATACTTTATCAGTAAAGCTTTCTATAAAAATATATTAAATTGGGGTAAGAATTGTTTGTTTATAACGTACACAAATATTTTGTTTTCTATGTAATCATAAACACTAGTGACAGTTCAAAATTATCGTTGATTTCTTTATTGTTTTGTGATAAAACCGTTAAATATAACTCTCTAAAATTGATTATTTAAAATCTAAACTATTCTATTATTATCTATTTTTCTATTCTAAACTATCTAATGTTTATCAATATTCATTTTTATCAAGTACCAACTATGTTTCGTTTAAACAAACCATTGGAGGAAAGATGCAAGAAAATTTCCCCTTTTATCACACATATTTTAGTAAACTGTAAAATTGTATGGTGGTCTTAATTGTTACAGAGGGAAATGACTAATTTATTGTCACGGCTACTCAAAAATTAGACATTCAGAAATCAAATGGTGGTTTTCGGTGAGTATTTAATTAATTTATTTTGCATACATATTTTAATCTTGAATAAGTAATATATCCGAAAAAAGGCTGGCTTTAATTTCGATCTTTAGCAGTTACTCATAAAGTTACGCTCCAATTAAGTTAATAATACAACGGGACCAATTCGCTAGCTTTCTTTTAAAATAAACTCATCCCCATCGTTAAACCGTTTCAGAGATACGCGCGAACAAACATTAAATAATAAAAAATCATTACGATTGCCGAACCTTCTTTTCCGGAATTAGAAAAAGGGGACACACTGTCGTACTTTTCAACAAAAATTTTGGGAACAATATTAAATACATATTAATTGAAAGATGATTAAAATAATCACGATTAGAAGTTCTTTGTTCCATACGGGTATATTTCCTCCACTCTCCCTGTACTACTCTAAATTAGACTTTTCATATATAGTGTATATCTAATAATTTTTAGAACTTTTGTTTGGATGGAGAATCGCCATTCGAGTAGAACATCGCCCCCCCCCCCCCATGCATTATTACACGTCATATTTTACATTCCAGCAGAGTTGAAAATCTGCGAAGTGTGTTAATTTGTTTACCCGCCAATAGAGAACATGTGCACTAAATTTCGATCATCATGAGACAAATTAACACAAAAGAATTTACGTGTGTGTATTTTTCTAATAATTCTGGCTGCTCATATATCTGAGAAAAATAAGGATTGAGCAAAATTATTTAGTACCTGTAAATTTTACGTTATGGAAGTTCATTGCTCACAAAAAAAGAAGATAACTTTACTACTGCTTAACTCTAATGATAATATTCCTTCGAGTGACCCTTTGACAGGACCCAAACACTTTCACATAGTTTGTTTCAGATTAAAAATCTCCCCACTAATTTTTCTTGACTGTTGATCAATAAATCATTCAAAACAAAATAAAGGACATAAGTGATGTGGTATATATAACTTTTTCACAGGAAGCTTATCGGCTATGAAGAATAATGGTGCTTTCCAGAGAGTATGTTATACATATTTTTGAATATTACACTTAATCAAACGAAATGACTTAATTTTATAATCTCATAATTGAGTCTTTGCCGGCTCGATATTGTAAATTGCCGCGTTAAAGAGTTGACAGTCTATAACATGCTCTCAGTCATGGAAATAATCTCCATGATTTCGGTTCTGCTATATTATTCTACTTTGCGTATGTTATGCAGGTTATTATGAGTTATGCAGAGACAACAAATTAATTTTCGCATTAAAATATAAATTTAAAGTAGTGAATTGTAAAACAGAATCAAGGAATGATTACTTCAAAGATGTACCTACATCATATGTCGGAGAAATGGATAAGGGAACGCGTAGTCAGCAACGACAACTATACGGCAGATGAAAATTTTCATTATTTGCTCAAGCGACGTATCCGTGTGTTTAATTTGCTCCGAGCAATGCTGCATCGTATACAAATTCGAATATAGCGCGTCCACGAAATTGCCTTATTACCGTCGATGAATCGCTGCGCCTGTCAATACTTTGGATGCATTTGGTCTACCCGATTCGCAATGTAACACTTTGTGTTATTTTTACTCAGCTCTAGAAGTTTAAAAGTTTAGAATTCATATTATATAACACCAAAATTTTTTCAATTGCAATATATCATAAGCTGTTGTAAGAAAAAAAATCGGCACAGTTCTAATATTAAAAAAACATTTAAAATCTTCTTTATAATATGTCTGTTGGTTAAACCATTTAAAGATATGTTATGCTAAATTTAAATGATCTTGACATGGAGGCACGGTAGCTTTTCCTCATTTGTTAAGATGATAAAGACAACATTATTTTTTCCTAAAAAAGTCTATTTCAAAATTATTTGCAATTACTCGCAGTCATGCTTCAGTCATTTTGATAATTAAATAGGACCATTCCAGAAACAAACGCTTTCCAATGAGCTCATCTCTATTATGATAGATTGAATTGTTTCACAGATGAGCACGACCGTACGTGAAAAAAAATCAAGCCAAATACATAACCTACTCCTCCTTTTTAAAGTCGGAAAAAGATAGTTTAGCTTGTGTGACTTCTTTTAATTCTTTTATATAATAAAATCAAGTGCTATGTATTATAGTAATATGAGGTTTGCAGAAGAAGAGCTGAGATTATTCGATCACTATATTCACTGATAATGACTGACTCCACCAGCACTTGATCGTATGACACATATTAGTACTCTTTTAAAATTTAATAAACCTGAAATTGAATAGGTGAATATGGATTTAAGCATTTATTCTTCGATAAATTTTCAATAATCGTTCGCTCATATTCTCGACGCCACTCATTGGCTTCATGCTTACGGTTGTTTGAGCTACTACCTATAAGTTGTTTTATCTTATTTCCATTTATTTAGAATACAACGATAAAACTTTTTCGTTTTTTCGACTTAGTCGCCTGCTGTTGATATCTCAAAGGGTATCTGCAAGCTGGAGCTATGTTAACAGTTTATCAATTTACATATGTGATGGATAGTCAGGTTCTCGACGTATTTGCATTGATTTTGACAACATGTCTATAGATATCAAAATCAGATTCAGGTAATGTGAGTAAAAGAGCACTTTTTTCCATCATTCTTCTAAAACAATCATCATTCAGTACTTATTTATATATCGATTTTCAGTAATGGCAAATAATTTTAATTTTCTGAAATATTAATTATTATTGTATTACTAATTTTTGAGTTTTAACCAACGAAAATTCAATATTTAAAATTTTCTTGATTGTATTTCTACGTCTTTTGAGATATATACAATTAATTAATATAAATTAAAAAAAAAACTAATTGCCTAAAGGTGCAGTCTGCGCAAATCTCTAATGCAAAAGTGATGATATGAATAATTTTATTTGCAATAATGTAGAATAAGGTCTACTTTTCATTGAGAAGATTAAGATTTCAAAGTACTAAATATCGACTGTAAAGGACTAGACAATATTTTTGTCAAATACTTATAATCCTAAATAATGAATAAAATCCAAATAATGAATATACGTACCATTATATGAAATAACCAACAGAAGTAAATCTATTAAAATTAAATGAAATACTGCGATTGTGTAATATCAATAAAATTTATTTCAATAATGATATTTATTAGATGTCTTATTTTTGCATAATTTTAAAAATTATTTACATGATTCGTAATTTTGTAAAAGATTTAAAATAGAATTATCGTAATAAACTATAAAACGAATCAAACAACAATATTAAATGAAACGATCTATGTACGGAGCAAAATTGCTCAATCATGATCGTATTTTGACAAGTTTATAGTGAATTGCAACACGAATGGCAAGAGAATTGTGTTTTAAAGCCGTTTCTATCTTACGTGTACGCGCGTCAAATTGCATCTTTGATTTACAAAACGTGTGTACAGTAATGGCACTTTGCACACTGGCATACGTCTCGCAATATTATTAAAAATCAATTGTTTTTTTTTCCGTTCAGACACTAACATCAGGACTACCACTCTTACAACATGACTTGAACAATAACGCGCAGAATTAAAAGTACGAATGTACAAAGAAGGTCTTGTAGACATTGATCTATCGATGTAAATTTTCTTTCCAAAACAACAAATTATCAACAATGTTTTATAACTTTTCAGTGAGATACAGACTTTTTGTAATATTCCACAGCAATGAACAGCCTGTCGCATAGATATAGGCATACAGATCGTATCCTATAAAAAGACTGAAACGCGCATCAGCATCATGCGCAGCGTGAACGTGTTTAGTGTAAAATTGAATAATTTGTTCCTAGAAATAACCAACGATAGCGAACAACAACATGGTCCCAAAAATCCTCATTAAGAGATCTCTTGAACATAAACCACGTATCAAAAATGAGGAGGTTTTGGTTCGATGTTTCAAGACGTATCAATAACGCGCGAGTCTAGCAAAAACTGCCGAACCTTATTCCAGAGGCCAACAGTCGTCAATTACAAAAATATTCTTTGTCCGTCCCGCGGATGCGCTGGAGACGAATATAAAAAAATATGGTTTTTAGAGAGCCGTGAGGCTGTTGTTTGTTTTCTTCCTGCCGTCAGCACCCGCTCTTGTTAAAAGTCATTGTCCCATCCGGATATGTCATCTGGTGGTGGTGGATCTGCATCCGGAGGATATTCATCAAAGTTTGTCGTATCCATAGGACTCACTACTTTTGGCATTATTGGCGGCTTCAAAGTCCTCGACCTCAAGCCTTCCCAATTGAAGCCATCGAACCATCTAAAAAATGAAAACGCATCGCGTTAAAATTGCTGGCCAACGACCAGCTAAAGGCACCAAGCTCACTTGTGCTTTTGAATCTCGCTGATTCCTCCTTTTTGGTAACCCAAACGCTCGGCAGGGTTGTCCCTGTAAGAATAACTTGATTGAGTTTTACTATCTGAGAGAGCATTGCCGCGGAAGGTTTACCTGCAGAGTTTCTTGATGAGAACGGTGGCGTTGCGCGTTATTATCCGAGGGAACTCGATCGCATCGATTCCTTTGAGGATGATATTGTACGTTTTCATCGGATCAGCCCCGGTGAACGGTGGCGTTCCAGTGAGCAGCTCGAACATTAGCACGCCCAACGACCAGTAGTCGGCACTTATGTCGTGACCTCTATTGAGAATCACTTCCGGCGCTACGTACTCCGGAGTGCCGCAGAACGTCCACGTCTTCCTTCCGTTATCCAGTCTCTTGGCAAAACCAAAGTCCACCAGCTTCACGTACCTGCGATCATTTGCTCGTTACTTTCTCGTTTCTCGAGTGCTATTTCGAGGCCTGTATTCAAAGGTCGACCATCCACGGCGCTCGGAGGTGGAAATAGCCGCGCGTGTTTACTTTGCGAGGAGCGAAAAGTGCGAGCGATAAATCACTTTAAAAATACTAGCAGCTGTCGATGCGCAGCGAGCGAGTCGCAGGCGAAACGCTCGAGGGACAAACGAGATTACGCGCCGGCCGGAACTTTAGTCCGTGAATGGAGAAAGCGGCATTTACCCTTGACTATCCAGCAGTAAATTCTCGGGCTTGAGATCCCTGTAGATGATGTTCCTCGAGTGCAAGTAGTCGAAGGCTTCGACGACGCAAGCCGTGTAAAATCTAGTGGTCGAGTCGTCGAAATATGCCTTGTCGCGCAGCACAGTCCACAGCTCGCCGCCCAAGCACGCCTCCATCAGCATGTAGAGGTACTTGCGATCCTTGAAGGTCTTGAACAGCTTGACGATGAAATCGCAGTCGGCCTCGCCCATTATCCGCTTCTCGGACATGATGTGCTGCTGCTGCCGGGTCTCCACGATCTGGGCCTTCTTCATTTGTTTGAGGGCAAACGAGCGGCTGTTGTCGCCGGCTATCTGCACGAGCTCGACGCGCCCGAACCCACCCACGCCCAGCGTCGCCAGCGAGCGCAGATCTTGCAGACGCAGCTCTCGGAACTCCTCGTTCAACCTGACACACGCACACGTGAATAGCGGTTATTATAGACCCTTATCTCGCGGAGACAAAGCCTCTCTCTTGCTGCTGATTTATGTCGAGAGAGGGAATTGTGACTGAGAGAAGGAAGAGCATGCAACACGCACACACAATGGACAAGTTACTTACTACTTCCGCTCGATCATTCGGAATTCGCACTATTCTCGTGTCAATTTCACAGTTTGTTAGTGTATGAATTGCACAGGCAAAATGAGAAAGACTATATGTAGGAAACAGATGAAGGTAGAAGCTGCTATGAAACACGCAACTGCATCTACGAGAGAAAGCGAATTCCAATAGGACTTACATTAGTTTTTTTAGCTTGGCTTTTACGTGCCCATCCTTTGGTTAGACATGAAACACAGTTAGTGTAGGCAGGTTAAGCGAGGATCTCGGCAAGTTTCTAGCGATGCATTATCAATGATTCGCGCGTGAAAGGGAAACTCAGCTGTTGCTTGGCATACCTTCTGCGTTCTATTAGTTCATCCTTGTAGCGCATTCGGATCTCGTCCAGCGAGGATATCAGCTGGTTGAAAGTTTCGCGATCGATCACCAAACAGCTCACTCCGTCCGGATCGTCCGCTATGATATTTGCCGTCCTCAGGTCGTCGCTGTTCCACAAAAACGGCTTACTCAAGGCTAGACAGACTTTTGGCATTATCATAAGGAAACAAAGAATAAATACCCTTGAAGAGCCTTCTCGCCGAAAAAGTCGCCCTTGTTCAAGGTCCTTATGTACTTTTCGTCCGTAGTGTCGGGTTGCTTGATGGTCACTTTCACCTGGCCTCGGCTAATGATGAAGAATGTATCTCCTCTCGCGCCTTGCCTGACAATATAGTCGCCATTGTTGTAGAAAGTCTGCAAACATTGTACTTGTTCTTTTATCATCACCAAAGTTGATTCTCGATAACGAGGCTACTGATATCGCTACTTTTTTTCCATTTTAACAATTCTTAATTTCGAACGGGAATGTTCATCACTCACCTCTTCCAATACGTCCGAAATTTTTATTAGAGTCTCCTCGGGTAAATCTTTGAAAATTGGAACGCTGAAAGACAATTCCTCGTTAGCGTTTTTTATAATATTCATGCTATACAAGCGGTTTGTAACAATTTGTACGCCTTGCATAGTTGAAATAACCTCAAGTAAAATATAAAGACAAAAAAAAAGAAAAGAATGTAAAAATCGTAACTCATGCAACATATTATACTATTTCATAAAATATTTATCAAGGCTAAACTAAAATTAAAAGAGTATGAAACTTGAAAGTCATCTATTTTTAAATCAAAGCTATTTTTTATATTTACTGGATTATATATACCAAAAGAAGTATTGCGCTGTCCTGATTAGTGTACGCATCAAAAGATGTGATAAACCAATATCAGATTAAAAAAAGGATTATGATTCAGTAATGAGAGTCGACAACGCGTTGAAAGTGGTTTACCTCTTGAGGAAATCGGTGTACTCGGCCTGTCTCGTTAGGCCAGTTCTCATCATGATGGTTTGGAAACACTGCCGGTCGATGGCCCATAGCTGGCAATCAGTTGCCGCGGTTATCGTGGCAGTTCTCTTGCAGTTATAAAGTATCGCCAGCTCGCCCAACACTTTACCGGGTGCCAGCGTGCTCAAGTATTTGCCGTCCCTCGACACCTCCACCTTTCCCTCTGCAAAGCAAGCATCAGCATTGTTTCAAACGTTGCTCTGCAATTGAGATCGACTTGCGCTCGTCGCTGGCGCATAATAAACACAGCGCAGCGACGAGAAACGACGGGCTGAGTTACAGTTTTGATCGACTGGCACATGCTCGCTAAGCGACCGCTTCTCCTAACTCCGAGCTATTTGCATGATTCTCGCTTCGTCGGGGAAAATTATAACCAGCTGCCTTTTACGCTCTCACTATTTTCAAGTTGGCTATGCTACGAGAGTAAGGCACGAAAAAGAACGAGGTTTACAGGTTGCTTGGATTGGTCAAACGATAAGCCGATTGTGGTAGATTACCGTCATTGTCGGCGCGGGTGTGAAATTTCCAATAGCCCGGACAAACGGAAAGGACTTTCCCCTGGAACACGAAAGCGCGAGCGTGTCAAAGCAATCGACAGGAATTGGCGAGCAGAGCCTAACGGTCAAGTGGGTCCTCGGAGTGCCAACCTTGGCCGTCCGGTTTCGCGCGAAGCGCGTGTACGTGCCACTTTTTGCGAGTTTTCGCGCTTCTTTGTCTGGCGTCGACGCCGCTGACAATGCTCGCTCGTGCGGGGCGGAGGCTCGCAGGAAGCCTCGGTGAAACTCGGCTTTCGCCGGCGCGCGCCTGCTTCTGCGCCTCTTTCTTACCGGCGGCGGTTCGGTTCGTTTGCTTCCTCGCGCGATCTCCGGGGCCTTGTGATCGGGGCCCGATCCGCGCGCGAAAAGCACCGGCGCGTTTTGGCCTGCTCGTAAAAAGCAGCGTTGCGCAAGCTTGGGGGCGCGAGAGATTCGCCGTCGGGACGTGGACTCTTTTTGCCAGCTCTGCTTGTCACCGCGACGCTGCTCCTCTCTCTCTCTCTCTCTCGTCTTTCGCCGAGCGAGCGAACCAGCGGCTAACTGGGTCAACCTGCGCGCGGCTACCTCGCGTCAGCTTATGTATATGGTACGCTTGGCCAAGGATTTACGTGTATGCTAATTCCGGCCTGCCTGTGCCAATGCCTCGATACGAACATTTTTCAATTTTCGGACTCGGCGTAGTCGAGCCCATCGCCACGCAAACATTCAGTTGTTATATCCGTCGAAGGGGCCCAATTATTTTAGACGCCTATCCTGGACGGTTGTCGCTCTGTCGCGTGTCGCCTGTGCTCGCACGTATTTCCGCACGTACGCCGCGAGAAAGCTCGTGATACGATGGCGACAAAAGAGAAAAGTGCAGAAAAATTAAAAAACCTGAGTCATTCGCTTTTTAAAGACCGTCTGCGTCGCCTCGAGAGACTACAATCTATACAAGTCGTTTCGAAAACCAGAACTGATATACACTATAGCTCGCTCGCTCGCTCGCACAATAGAATATACCGTGATGGCGTTGAACTCTCCGCGCACGAGCGAGTTACAGGCAGGCAAGCGGTTAGCAAAGTTGTTAAAAAAGCAGCTGTTGCAAACGACCGTTCGGGCTTGATTGTTTCGCGCGAAGCGATTTTTCCTTAAAGTTTCTCTCCTTCTCTCTACGTGCCGTTGTCATAAAAACTGGACAACCAACAAACGTTACGCGCTTCGCGTTGTCGCGCCGACAGCGCGCGAATCGTCCGACGAAAGCTCGCGCTCGGTTTCACGCCGACGGCGAAGCGAAATGCCATGCCCGCTCGCGGCGACAGAGACGGCAGTCGTTGGCTCTACCTCGTCGCGGGATCCGCGAAAATTCGATCGGTTCTGCTCTCGGCAGCTCGGAAATGTCACGCGCGGCACGTATCAAGGAAGAAAATAAGAAAACTCTTCCGTCGCGCAGGTGCGACGACGGAGCGGTACTTTTGCCGCGGCCACGAGCGCGCCGGGAAGATCGCGAGCGCTCTCTCCGCCCATTAATCCCATTTGCGAAGGAACAATTTCTCGGCGAGCGTTCGCAGTGGCCGCGAGAGAGGCAGGCGGCAGCTCGCGAGTAGCTTCCGGAGAGAAAGTACGAACGAGCCTGTTCCGCGGGTGCTGCCGATCGCTATTGGCGCTCCGAGGGGTTCGGAAGTCGAAGCGCTCGCCGCCGCGCGCTACGCAGCTCGCGCGTGTAGCAATATCCGCGATTGCTCTCCGCGTTGATCCTGAACTCAATTTCACTTTATGACACTTTTGCGCAACGGCGATCCGCGCGCACTCGTCATCGTCGTCTCCTCGCTTTGCCCTCTCACGCGCATCGCGCGCTGCGATTGCATTGTGTCGGCGCAAATATCCGTGCCGTTGTCCGCTCTCATGTAGATTTTCCACGCGCGAGCGTTCGCCGCCTATAAGTGCGAGCTGATTCGATCTGCCATGGCGACTACGCATACTTTTTCAGAGATTATTTCGTTGTAAATGGATCTGACAGCTCTAGCGAGCGCGACGTGTGATTACGGAATACTATTGAGTCTTTTCTCTTTTACTGTCGTCAAGTGGATCATCGGAGCGGTTTCCGTTTATATACTTTTACTTTGTTCTCCGAGACCCGTTTATCCAAACTTCGAATAATTTGGTAAACAACCACGGCTTCAATTAGGTTAACAATCTCTCTGCAAGCTAATGTTTTAATTATCGTCAGTTGCTTTCGACCAATTATATGCAGTGGGAAGGAGAAAAATTGCCTTATCATTGCGAGGTTCACCCAACGCCAGCAGCAAGCTGATTCAATTAAAATTGACAACAATCTTGAAAGTATACTTACGCGCAATTATTGAAGTGAGTTTTGTAATTGGCGAGGTGGTTAACTTTGAAACATTTACAAACGAACGACACCCGTTAAAGCGTGTTGTTTGTTTCAAAAATTATTATTATTATTCTTTTTCACCTACATTCGAAACTTTTTAACGATCATTATCGAACCTGTTTTTTTAAAGTGTCATTCACACGTCACAAGCGTTCCATGTCCAACGTAATGCATATTTATTAATATAAAAACAAATGATTTAATAGAGAGTTGCCTAGCGATAGCTATCTAAAAGCGATTTGGACCTGTCGACACGTCAGGTCTAGGAACAAAGACAACCACGCCAACTTTGCGCTGTTATACTTCGACGTGCCATCGTCTCGTTGCTTCCATTTTTTCCTCTCTCATTGCGCATGTGCATCCTTTATATCTTTAGAAGACGTTTTCTTTCGAACAGTACACTATGAAAGGAAAATGCCCACTCGATCGTGGCCCCCCACCCCCTCCCCACTCCGAAAAAAGCTTTCAAGTTGCCTGCTTCTCGCGAGATCGGTTGGAAAGTACAGCCTTGAAAGAAGAACAAGAACAGCAGGCGTGAAAGAGCAGTATACAAGCGCAATTACGAGAAGGCGACAAGGAGAGAGAGAGAGAGAGAGAGAGAGAGGATAAAGAGAAGTGCGTCACGTATGTTAGAACGACGGCACGTCGACGGTTGAGACAGATGGGGAAAGTGGCAGTTAACGGTGCATCCTCGCAAGGGTATGCACGTCACACTGCTTCGTGTCACCTCTCTCTCGCTCTCAGCCGGTAAGCATTTTGAACACGTGCTCGACATTCTCTCGCGCTGCGCCGTCGCGAACGGTTCTTCGTCTTGTCGGTTCGGCGAGGATTCGCTCGCGTGAGTCACACGCGCGACCGAGCGATGCCACGGTCTTCCGGCCGAAAGGACAGACTGCGGCGGAGGCCACCCGGTCCTGCGGCCCGACGAAACGCGCGCAGCGGTCACGCGAAACCGCGCGGCTCTCCCGATGCTAATTGCTGGCGCGAGAGAGAGAGAGAGAGAGAGAGAGAGAGAGAGAGAGAGAGAGAGAGAGAGAGAGACAGCGGGAACACGCGAAGGATGTACCTGGAGGCTGCTGAGGCCTTCGAGCGACGGCGCGCACCGGCTGCGGTGCCCCGGTGCGCCGGCGTCTCGCGTAGGTGTGCACCGGCACGATGAGCCGTGGCCTGGGTATGAGGAAGCTGCCGGACGCGGTCGAGCAGTGGTCGCGCTCGAGCCGCGAGGAGGCGTGCCCCTCGCTGTCCTCGCGCTCGTCGGCGGAGCCGCTGGCGCAACTGGCGCTGCTCGCCTCGCTGCAGTGGGAGCCGGAGGAACTGGAGCCCGTGGACACCGAGCGCAGCGGCTGCTCGGCGCCCGGGCGCGCCCGCGGCAGGCACTCGCCGCGGCCCGCGCCCGTCCAGTTGAGTCCGCACTCGCGCCAACTCGCCTCGTACAGCAGGTCCATGGCGCGCGCGCGGGCCGCCTCGGGCTCCGCCAGCAACTCCGGGTCGTCGAGGACCGCTCGGTCCGGGTAGCCGCGGACCTTCATCGCTCGCTCGCGTGTGTCGTGGGCCGCTCACATGGCGCCTCGCTGCCCGCGCGCCGACTGCCGGGGCGGGCGCCGAGGCGCGAGAGCCGCGCGAGAGCCGCGCGAGGCGGCTGCCCCCGCTCCCGACGCGGCCGCGGCTCTCCCGGAGAAAGGACAGCGGTTCTCAGCTGCTCGCTCGCCGCGGCGCCGCTCGCTTTGTGTCGGCTCGGCCTGCCCGCACCTCCGCCCGGAATCGCCACTTGCCGGCCAAGGTCGGCCGGCCGCCACGCGCCAGCACCCCGCCGAGCTGCGCCGTCGCCGCCGATTGTCTCGCGCGCCCGCCGCGACTCCCCTCGCTCGCCCGGCTCGAGATGCGCGGGTCTCTTTTTGCTCGCGGCCGACGCGGTGGCGAGCGGAGACGAGAGCGAGTTTGACGACTCGGTTCTCGTCGCCGCAGCTGCTGCCTGCCTGCTGCCTGCCTGTCACCCGCTGCGCCGTCGAGTCGAGGCTCGCGAGTGCGCGCGTGCTAAGCCCTCGAGCCCCGCAGTCTGCTCTACAGTGGAAGTCGAGCTTTGAGTGATTCCGAACTCGTGCGACACCTTCGTCTTCCTTGGCAGTTCGAGCTTGTTCCTTCAGTAAGAAACCATATGCCAATACCGGGCTCTTATTTTTTTATTTTTTTGCTCCCTTTTTCGCTTCATCCGCGTACGATAGAGTTATGCGCTGTTTTTTATTTCTTGAAATAAATGCAACTCTGGGAGGTTCTTTCACAGATCCGTTGCGCAAGCGAATTCGAGGCGCACATATATATACACGTATAACGGGAGGGAAGGCTCGTTATTATCATATGCTATTGTTATTAGTTGAGCCACAAAGAGAAAGTTGATTTATAGAACGCAATGGTTATTAGGGAAGAGCGATTATTTTAACGGTTTTCTCCTATAAATACAAGCCACCTCATCGTACAAAAGCCACTGCCTTTTGTATCGTCATTCCTGGTTTTTTTTTCTCGATCGTTGGTCCAATATTTACACGCTATTATCTCACTTCAGAACTTACTCTCTCGCCTTGGATTTGACAAAAAATTATTACATTCCAATTGTATAAGTAAACTGCGGTCGTTGAGAAACCGATACTGAATTTGATCATTGCGCTCCGCGACGCGCAACGACAGCTGCGAGGAAAAAAGGATTTGGTTGGTCGTAATAAAAATAGTACGCGCGCCCAATCGACCTCAAAGGAACTCGTCTGTTAGACAATTAGGCAAAACAAGTTTCGTGATACGAGCTTCGGAAAGAAGTGTTCGTTAAGAGGCATCAGACGCGTTAAATTGATAATGAAGCTGTCGAGCGAAAGGAAAATGGAACTCTTTGGAGAATGGCAGTAGAAGGTTTGCAAGTACAAATGAAAAAAGCTTTCGATCGGTTTGAAACAATGCAAGCACGATCGAAAATTTAGAATACGCCGATTCTCTCTCTCTCTCTCCCCGAGTTGTTTGCGATTTAACTTTCTCTTTTCGTCGACTTTCTTCGATTTCAACGCCCTCGGCCCTATGTACAACTGCTGGAACTTTGGCTCGCTGTTACGCAAGAAACTAGATTTTATTAAATCTTTTAGTTGGAATAATTGTCTGCATTTTTTCAACTGTCACCGCGAACAGCACGGAAAACTTACAAGGTAACTTTGCGCTTATAAACTTGGAAAGCTTAGGTAAGTACCGATTAAAGCATGTCTGTTATACAATTTGGAAGCTGATGACGGCAGTCATTATGCCATTCGTTAGCAAAATCGATCGTCACCTTATCGCATTAGAAAATTGCCGCGTTAGAGAATAAGTTACCGACACGGGCAAAGTAGATCTCTATAGTTTTTTCTTTGTATGTACATTTTTTCACTCCACAGCCGTTCGAGCCGATTACGTTTTCAATTGTTTAATAATAATAATACAGTTCACAGATACAAGTTTGTACGCTGTTATTCTTTGACGATACTGATTTTGAATTTGAAAAAAATGTATTCAGAATCTTCAAACATAACCGAGAACCAATCAGATCGAGTAAATAATCAACAAAAAGCATGACCACTGGCGTTTCATATCCGCTGACGGAAGCTTCATTCTCTTAGCCAACTTTTTCATGTTTTTCAGATAACGCGAATGCAATGATTGATTGAAAACGGCTACAACGTGAGTATGTACCACGAGATATCTATGATCGATTTTTCTAATCTACCAAAGAATAATCACTGTGCAAAAATTAACCAGAATCGCTGTTTTACTGCACATATTTTTATGAAATGGAGATAAGAGAGAATATTTAAATCAAATAAATTTGTTCAACATAGCATTGATCGATCCAATTCAATCACATTTTTTTCTGTTGGAAAATCTTATCTTATTTAAGTAGTGATGACACTGATTTCAAATTATCGGCCAAAGCTATTTTTATTTCAGACATACAAAATACATTTTTTACTACTTATTGTTGGGAATACAGCATGTGCCAGTTGCCTATCAATGAACTAACAAGATGGAAAAGTAAACCCAATTATTTGCCGATTCTCAGTCAATGATAAATAAGCCAAATAAATTGATATAAAGACCAAATTTATTCATCATGAACCGAAGAATGACAATCAGCATAGTAGGAAAAACCCATTGCAAAAAGGAGCAAATTCACTGCATCATGAAAAATTAAAGGAATAAAGCTCACCTTCCATGACAAAAACAATTGAGCCGACATCTCCTTCGCGAATAATGATAGAACCTGCGGGGAAAGTGACAGGATACATGCAGTCGACGATTTCTCGAATTTGCGTAAGTTCCAAGTTCTTCATGAAATCATTATCCAAAATAGCAGCTTTTATCAGTTCCCGTGACCTGAAATAAAAATAATTGAGTGTATTAATACCTCGCGTATGAACTGTTATTTTAAAACGATTATAACCAATACGTGTCTATTTTTGTACTCAAGAAGAAATATACATATGAAAGAGGATTACGAATGGATCGTTTTTTTACTCTATAATGTTGGTTATTGAATAAGTAAATCGACAAAAGCACTTAGTAAGTCAAAGTCCGACTCTTCTTCATTTCGAATGCAATTCCAGTGAGTCTTTCTAAACGTGAATTGCGTATCACTTGATCGAAAACGTAACATTATCATCCTATACCAAGATTATTGGAGTGAAATTACACGTACTTGTGCCATGGAAATCGGTATTTCTCAAGTAAGTCAAACAGTTAAGCAAGTGTTGTCTGAAAGCTTGAATACTTGCAGATACCAACTTGTGTTTGTAAAGAATTGTAATTCCATGATCAATTATGATATTTAATAACTTGACAACATTATAAAATATGTAGAATATCGTTCAATCGGTGCAGTAAAATATTCTAGAAGCGCGTTATTCCATTTCGACCGTAAACCTTTCTGCCGTTAACTTAGATAGCATTAACGAGTCAGCACGAGAGTCAACATAAAAATAGCGTGGATAAGCAATAAATAAAATTCTCTGTGATTACGTGTGGTATTACGTAGAGCATCGACGAACTATCATTAGAAATATGTTTTGATTTGACTTTTGAATGCGAGTATAACCTTCACCTCTTTCGACGATTTATTTTCTACGCGTTCGCTAACAATTTGAGAAACGTCGTTTTGTTATATGAATAAAACAAAATGCATTTTACTCGATAAGAAGAGACACAATGGCTCGGCATTGTAACTAAATTCATAGAGCTATTTTAAGGAGCGTAGATTAAACGGACGAATGAAGCATCGCAAATATTGTTGTCCGATTATGCGTCGCGATAAAAATGCAAGCATCATTCGATTGGCGATGTTGCGATCCTGCCAGCAGCTGTATATTTAAGACAAAATAGCCCAAACAAAGTGTCGAAACACGGGCGTCACGTTCATTGATAAGAATCGTGACGTGACGTGAAAGCACAAGTACCTGCCTCGAGTTACGAAACGCCCTCGGTATGATCTACACGCGTGCAAAGGTGTCACTCGTTCGAGCGTCCGCGACGACGTATCGCAGCGGTCACAGAGAAACATAGAAAGAAAGAATAGTCCTCTCGTGCACTGCACAACTAGCCGCGCGCGCTTGCCCCGCCATCGGCGTTCGACTTTTATACGACTGGAAACGACGATCCTTGACTACTCGCATCGGGCACGAAAGACTTTTTCCCAAGATAAAGAGGCCTGGGAATGGCGGGAGCGTCCGAAAAGTGCGCGTGCACGGATCAACTCTGCACTCACGCCACTCGATAATGACCGGCGTCATCGGAGATTTTTATAGAGCGGAGGTGCTCGGCGAGCATCGTGGCCGGGCTGCCGCCTGCACCACTTAGTTTCCAGGCGCCGGCTGGCAATCGGAAGCTCGTCGAATGGAAAGCACGCGCGCGATTTATTGGCCGCGCGTTGCGCTCTGAAGTTGAGCCCACCACGCCGAGGCAACGAACGATCGTTGAAAAGCAGAAAGAAAATGAGCGCGCGAACCTCTGAGGCTTGCTGACTTTGGGAATGGGGTTGGTGACGAGGCCGAGGGGCTCGGCCGAGATGGCCTGGCGCTTGAGCCGCTGGGCCGGATTGAGCGGGCCGCTCTTGCCATAGCCCAGCTCCACGATCTGCCGGAACTTGTCGATCTCGTTCTGCAGGTAGCGGATCGTGGCCTCGCGCTCCTCGAGCGCGCGCGCCAGCAGCTCGACCTGCTCGTCGCGGACGCGCAGTGCCTCGGTGCGCTCGTAGAGCAGCCTCTTCAGATCTCGCACGGAGTCCATCCTCGCGACAACCGCGAGCGTCGCACTCTCGGCACGCTACACTGGCATCGCTCTCGCTCGCGAGCGCGACGGCGACGATGCGTCACTGAAAGCCAGCGCTATGACTAGCCGCGGCTTTATCTGCGCCGCCTCGCTGCCGTGATTCGCCTTTCGAATTTTATCGAATCGAGAGCAGGTGGCGCGCGACGAGCGCCTTGCCAAAGAGCCGTCGACGAACTGCCGAGTCACGGCGCGCGCCGCGATAAGCCTGCCAAGGGTCCCCGAAGTCGCGAACGCGCTATTTTTAAGGCCACGCGCGCGCTAATCGAGGTGAAAGGACGCGCGCGGCTCTCCTGGCTGAGGCGGGACGCGTGGCCCGAGTCGGCGCGTCGACCACGTTGACGTCAAGACCGGCGGTGTTTTGCTTCGCGGCATCTCCGGCACACCCACGCCCGGACTCGGCCCCGCGTCCTTCGCGTATAGGTGAAGCCCGCGCAGGCCGCATTAAAACTTTCATACAAACAAATAAGCCCCCCGCGAGCGAGGGAAGCTTTCCGCGTCTATTTTTATGCGGCGCTCGACTGTTTACCCGGCAAACATTTCCCTATCATTAGCTATAATACGAGAGCCAGTTATCGCGATGCTGCTTGCGGATTGTGACGGAGGCTCGGACTTTATAGGCCGAGCGCCAATTGCTTCGGGAATTCCTTGCCTCGTCACGCGGATGAATGCTTCTGCTGGCGAGAAGCTTCGCAAATGCCAGCACGGAACGAGAGCACAGGCGCGCGAGATCGTCACGACTGGCAATGTTATTTGACCGTTTACGGCCAAGTAAATGACTTTGTACTTCTTTATTGAGAGCCTCGGCGAGTTATGAATCACGCAATGTCGGTATACCGCGTCGGCGCTCTTCTAGGTACAAATTAACTTGCCCGCGGAGCGAATCTTTCGGTCTCGAGGAATTTTCAAGGGCTCAATGTGTCCGGCCTGTTGCGCGGCTAAGCTACCGAAGCGAATTAAGATTGCATCTCTTCGATACCGAGAATCTGGAAAACGAGTTCTCGATTCCGTTTAAGAATTATACCCGCCTGCACATCACCAAAGGCTATGCGCGAATTTCGTCCGGTGCTCGCGTACAAAAAGCTTCGCTTACGTGCGACGTGTTGCACGCCAGTCCCACGCGTTCAAATTCAAACGCTCACACGTTTTTCCCGTTCGTAATAAATGCATCGAACACACTTCCAAACGTCTAACGGCGCTGGCAATGTCTTCATTCGGGACAGCGTCATTTTAACACGCTTCGATTCTCCATGCGAATTCCGTATCGAGCGAATCAAGTAATCTTCATTAATAATTAAACGTATTTTAATTTACGAGCATTCTTTCCGTTTTAGTTTATTTTTATGCCTGTTTCGTGCCAAAAATCTGCTATTCATTATTTATAACGCCATTAGAATACAACAACAATTGCTATCTGTCATTCCGGCAGGTACATTTTTACTTTCGTGAGGTCTAAATTTATTTCGAGCATTATTGAGAGTACGTTACACCTTGCGTGTATTTTTAAACCAAAGGTTTCATTTTGAAAACATCGATGTGTCATTTTAACTTTGAACGCGCTTCGGATATTATATTTTCACGCCGAAAGCATCGAAAAAACTAGGCGGTGAAGGAAGAAGAAATTCCAAGCTGTAAATGTATCCATGACTTATTCCACGTCGTACTTTGGGAAACCGAACGACCAATTAAACGCATCGTACAAACGCTCGAAATAAAATAAAAAGCCATGAGACCCCCATCGCGCGTTATTTAGCTCAAGGACTTTGGATACAAAAGTCGGAATACTTAACGGGATGGGAGACTTACGATTTCATTTATCTGAGGAAGCAAGTGCCATGCGCAATTAGCATTTCATTTAGATTCATTAGTTTAACCACTCGCACTTTCCGCTCTCTCAACGGCACGGTTTTCTCGTTGATTGCGGTTTCACAAAAATGAAGACATCGGAAAATATGCGTACTCTTATACACATAAGAAATAGTTCTCAAATCTAACGTATCTTACATTTGAGAAGAAACTAACGATTATTACCTATACGGCAAATTTACAAAATATTTTGTAAGCTTTGCATAAGCGTGGTATAAAATTATTACTTATTACAAAAATTTGAATGGTTACAAAGTGTGAACGTACATGCAACACATCGCGTCGGCTCGAATGGCTGTCGAATCATCGGGCTTACGAATGGCATTGCCTCAAAAGCGATGCGCGGGCGATAGTCGAGTATATTTATGCCGATCGATAGCAATGCTGGCACCACGAGGGATGTCGATATTACACGCCAGAGCGATACGGGTATCTTCTTATAATATCCTCATATACGAGTACATTGTAGTGAGAGTGTAGATGCAGCTTGAAGCACGAGATGGGAACAGATCAGAACGACGTAGCGTCTCGGAAACTACAGTTGTTTTCATTTGCAGTGTAAAATGAGAAATACTTTAAATCTACTATTCATTGTTCAAAACGTTGTCTGCAATATTCCGCCACTCGTAGCTTATAATGAAAGATCACCTGCACAATCAACTTTCTACAATTATCCACTGTAGAATGAGAATAGATGAGCTAAATTTCGTTAGTATTTTATCAGTTTGCATTGTAAATTTGAATTTGTTTGAGTGCTTGTAACGACTGTGTCCGCGCCAAGATCTTAGCAACGATAAACCAGCGCTAATCCAGCTTTTTCAATACTTTGCAAATAAATCTTGTAACTAATAGCGCGATCAGTGTAACTTGGTCACTTGGTTATTGGCTGCAAAGTATCAGGGCGAAAAATAAAGATTTGAAATGCTGTAATCCAATCGACGGCAAAGAGAGAGAGTTGACAGCAAGGATTAGAAGTGAAAAAGAGTGAAACGTCACGACGACGATGCGAGAAGCTGGCGATCCGTCCGCGCAGATAAGACAGAGAGCGCGCAGTGCAGAAGCGCTCGACCTTACCGAACAGGTGGTCGTCGTGAGCGGGTGAGCGGTCACGAGGGGGCGCCAGCGCGCAGCCAAGTCGTCGCTCGGCGCTCGCTCGGCGCGCACAAAGCGGTCCCCGTCGTCGCGCGCGC